GTCGCAGTCAATACAGATACCAGTCAAATAGAAAGTCGCTTGTGGCTACAGATACCAGTCAATAGAAAGTCGCTTGTGGCTACAGATACCAGTCAATAGAAAGTAGCTTGTGGCTTGTAGAAAGTCGCTTGTGGCTACAGATACCAGTCAATAGAAAGTAGCTTGTACAGGCTACAGATACCAGTCAATAGAAAGTCGCTTGTGGCTACAGATACCAGTCAATAGAAAGTCGCTTGTGGCTACAGATACCAGTCAATAGTCAATAGAAAGTCGCTTGTGGCTTGTAGGTAGCTTGTGGCTACAGATACCAGTCAATAGAAAGTCGCTTGTGGCAGATACAGATACCAGTCAATAGAAAGTCGCTTGTGGCTACAGATACCAGTCAATAGAAAGTAGCTTGTGGCTACAGATACCAGTCAATAGAAAGTAGCTTGTGGCTACAGATACCAGTCAATAGAAAGTAGCTTGTGGCTACAGATACCAGTCAATAGAAAGTAGCTTACCAGCTTGTGGCTACAGATACCAGTCAATAGAAAGTACCAGCTTGTGGCTACAGATACCAGTCAATAGAAAGTCGCTTGTGGCTACAGATACCAGTCAATAGAAAGTCGCTTGTGGCTACAGATACCAGTCAATAGAAAGTCGCTTGTGGCTACAGATACCAGTCAATAGAAAGTCGCTTGTGGCTACAGATACCAGTCAATAGAAAGTAGCTTGTGGCTACAGATACCAGTCAATAGAAAGTCGCTTGTGGCTACAGATACCAGTCAATAGAAAGTAGCTTGTGGGTACAGATACCAGTCAATAGAAAGTAGCTTGTGGCTACAGATACCAGTCAATAGAAAGTAGCTTGTGGCTACAGATACCAGTCAATAGAAAGTCGCTTGTGGGTACAGATACCAGTCAATAGAAAGTCGCTTGTGGCTACAGATACCAGTCAATAGAAAGTCGCTTGTGGCTACAGATACCAGTCAATAGAAAGTCGCTTGTGGCTACAGATACCAGTCAATAGAAAGTCGCTTGTGGCTACAGATACCAGTCAATAGAAAGTAGCTTGCTTGTGGGTACAGATACCAGTCAATAGAAAGTAGCTTGTGGCTACAGATACCAGTCAATAGAAAGTCGCTTGTGGCTACAGATACCAGTCAATAGAAAGTAGCTTGTGGCTACAGATACCAGTCAATAGAAAGTCGCTTGTGGGTACAGATACCAGTCAATAGAAAGTCGCTTGTGGCTACAGATACCAGTCAATAGAAAGTCGCTTGTGGGTACAGATACCAGTCAATAGAAAGTCGCTTGTGGGTACTACCAGTCAATAGAAAGATACCAGTCAATAGAAAGTCGCTTGTGGCTACAGATACCAGTCAATAGAAAGTCGCTTGTGGCTACAGATACCAGTCAATAGAAAGTCGCTTGTGGCTACAGATACCAGTCAATAGAAAGTCGTTTGTGGCTACAGATACCAGTCAATAGAAAGTCGCTTGTGGCTACAGATACCAGTCAATAGAAAGTCGCTTGTGGCTACAGATACCAGTCAATAGAAAGTCGCTTGTGGCTACAGATACCAGTCAATAGAAAGTCGCTTGTGGCTACAGATACCAGTCAATAGAAAGTCGCTTGTGGCTACAGATACCAGTCAATAGAAACAGATACCAGCAATAGAAAGTCGCTTGTGGCTACAGATACCAGTCAATAGAAAGTCGCTTGTGGCTACAGATACCAGTCAATAGAAAGTCGCTTGTGGTCATACCAGTCAATAGAAAGTCGCTTGTGGCTACAGATACCAGTCAATAGAAGTACCAGATACCAGTCAATAGAAAGTCGCTTGTCAGATACCAGTCAATAGAAAGTCGCTTGTGGCTACAGATACCAGTCAATAGAAAGTCGCTTGTGGCTACAGATACCAGTCAATAGAAAGTCGCTTGTGGCTACAGATACCAGTCAATAGAAAGTCGCTTGTGGCTACAGATACCAGTCAATAGAAAGTCGCTTGTGGCTACAGATACCAGTCAATAGAAAGTCGCTTGTGGCTACAGATACCAGTCAATAGAAAGTCGCTTGTGGCTACAGATACCAGTCAATAGAAAGTCGCTTGTGTAGACCAGATACCAGTCAATAGAAAGTAGCTTGTGGCTACAGATACCAGTCAATACCAGTCAGAATAGAAAGTAGCTTGTGGCTACAGATACCAGTCAATAGAAAGTAGCCTTGTGGAATATACAGATACGACAGTCAATAGAACAGTACACAGGCTTGTGGCAATCGAGTATATGGTCCGGTCTCAGCAATATTCCAGCTATATGGCGGCGGTCTGTCAATAATCGAGTCTGGACCAGACAATCCAGTGATCAACAGCATGAGCATCGGTCTGCGCAATTGGGAACCGATGACATGTGTCAACCAAGTCAGCGAGCCTGACCACCCGATCCCGTTAGTCGCCTCTTACGGCAAGCATGGGTTACTGAATTTAAGATCATTTCTAACCCGCACCTTCACAGATTCTCTGATTGGATGAAATAACGATAATGACAACGGGAAATGTTGATTACACAGCCCCAGATCAGCATTTTGTTTCAATGTTAAGGAGCTCGATAATATACAGTATATGCTCTGACATAAATATGTCCTCATTTGCTCATACAAAATAACGAACAGTATTCTATGGACACTTTAATACGGTGTACAGGAAGATTGAACATTCGATATTTAATAGTATTTGCATACAATATGAGACACAAGTAATTAAGGTCGGTAATATTGAAAGTAGGAGAAAGGTTGCGCAACAAATGGTGGGTTTCAGGAACTCCGTGTCTCTCGATTTATGTTCACAGACACAGACGAAGTCATCATAACCTGAAATGACATCCTTATGACATGGGAATACTGTGAATGAGTTAATATCTGGGGCAAACACACGCTCCAGTGAATTAACCTTTCATGGGTCCTCCGCGCCATGCCCTACATTGTGTCCCGCGGGTGCTGTTCATGGTGCCCACATGGGTACAATGTGTGAAGCCCATTTCTGGTGTCCCCCCGACGTGATATTGCTTGAATACTGCTAAAAGTTGTGTAAAACCAAACTCACTCACTGAGTGTTCATGTTGACACTGTCGTTGATCAAATGTGCTGAATATGATCAATAACTAGGTTTTAAAGGAAAGTTCAGTTGTTCCAGTGAACTGTCGGGGGCGTGAACAAGGTACGACCTTCAACAATTATGCATGATGGAATAAAATGTATGAACTTAGTTACTGTTGTCACTGTTGAAGATTATGTTCAGTGAAGCGAACATATATAGATTAAAGTGAGTGAGTATGTTTTTACGCCTCTTTTAGCAATATTCCAGCAATATCACGGCGGGGGACACCAGAAATGGGCTTCACACTTGTACCCATGTGGGAAGTCGAACCCGGGTCTTCGGTGTGATGGGCGAACGCTATACCACTCGGCTACCCCACCGTCCCTATAGCGTAAAGATGAAAAGTGAAACAATGATTGACATGTGACTAGATTTTCATAATATACATACTACTTACACGAGGGTGGTGGTGGTGGTGTGTGTGTGTGTGTGTGTTAGCCTAGTGGCTAAAGCGTTTGCCCATCACGCTGAAGACCTGGGTTCGATTCCCCACATGGATACAATGTCTGATGCCCATTTCTAGTGTCCACCGCTGTGATATTGTTGGAATACTGCTAAAAGCGGCACGGCATGAAGCCACACTCACTCACTCCTCGAACACAACTATCTCTGTGTGTCTGTACGTGTACCCGTGAAGATCCGTGTTAGAATTGATCTTCAGTAACCCATGCTTGTCGTAATTGGCGACTAACGGGATCGGGTGGTCAGGCTTGCTGACTTGGTTGACACATATCATCGCATCCCAGTTGCGTAGATCTATGCTCATGCTCATGTGATCACTGAATTGTCTGGTCCAGACTCGATTATATACAGACCGCCGCCATATTGCTGGAATATTGCTGAGTGCGGCGTAAAACTAAAATCACTCACTAACTGTACATACTACTTACACAAGGGTGGTGGTGGTGGCGGTGTGTGTGTGTGTGTGTGTGTGTGAGTGTATGTGACGGAAATAGGCTGTCTGTCTGGTATTCATGTGCATAAACGTCATTAAACACCGAAAGCCAGTCAAGGGAGGTATTCTCGTGCTAGATGCGCTGACGTCGGCCGTGACCGAAGCCCTCTCTAATCATTTTCCATCCTTCAACTCAAAAGGTATGCCATAAGGTGTAATGTATGATATCTTCATAAACAAATAGATTCAAACATTGGTCAGTTTCCAAAGCTGCAATTCAACGTATAACAATGTATTGAAATATTTATTCCACCCCACCCCACCCCACCCTACCCCACACTCATCGACGTAGTTTATAACATTTCAAATCAGTAAACGATTCTCATTCCTACCTTCGTTCATAATTGTTTTAAATGTGTAACGCGTGAGATGATATCAACTGAATGACCGGGGTTCTCGTCCATTCAATAGGAATGTCACAATACATCACGTTGCCGGCATGCCACGTGTTCTTGTACTATTGTGTTATTTCTGTTATACTCCAGATATCTATTTCATACGAAGGTTTATCAACACCACATGGTTCTATCTAATAACCCAATGAAACTGGTCAGCCGTGACGTCAGGCCGACTATGTCGTGGCAGTCGTTGACTCGCTGTTACGTCACTGTGTGTGACAACTGTGTATTGTGTGGAAAGATTGTTCTGTTGTACATGCAATTAACAGTTCCTAGTTTATGAACATAGTTCTATTTTCTGCTGACTAAGAACAGTTCTTGATATGCTTCATATATACAACTGAAGCTTGGATGTCCTGTGTCACGCATGAATTCCCCCGTGTCACAGCCAACCGCAACAGTCGTAAAACACCGACAAATATTCACAGTTAGGGCTTTCCAAATATTCTCATGAGCCCTGGCTGTGGATATATAACCTTCCCTACTCACACCGGGGATGCACCAGTTGTTGACTGTCCTGCCAGTGTGCACACGCATCTACTACCGAAGCCACGTTGCATGCATGTACTGCACGTTATTCACGGGAAATCGACAACGTTCAATGATCTGATTGACAGGTGCTCATTTCTACAACAGAGGCTCTGAATCTTTCTCGGCGCTCTGTTAACGTGACATCTGTGGTCCGAGATTTAGAAAACGGTAAGTGGTGTATTTTCGAGTTCTTTTTTATGAAATCAACCGCTAAATCAGACAGCACATAACCTTGCTATGTTCATGTATTAGAGTATTCAATATGGGGTTATTGATAGTCATGCTAACGTTGCATCGCCGTGTGGTACATGAAGGGGAGATAACTGGAGTGCTGTCATTATGTGGGACACCCCCGAGTTTACAAACTGGGCTAGGTCAGAATGCAACCAGTAGAAGAATGAAATATGATTATGACACCCAAATTGCCGAACACGTGCTCTCGATCAGTTTGTAAATAACTTGGGGAAGGTCAACTATAGCATAACAGGATCAAAATGCGGTAAAATTGTTTATTCAATGTTTACATGGCATCAAAATGGCATTTATGTACTGGAATAATAACAATATGTTCAATCTCCTGTCCAATACTGGTTTAAGCAGAGACCATATAATCTATTATATGGTCTCTGGTCTGAGGCACAAACATTTACCTAATATGTATATAAAAGTATATTCTAAACGATAACACCAAATCAAGCTCTAATAATAATAACTGATACTGCGATAAAATTGGTATATACCTATGTGTTTAACAAACGTACTGGCGTGTGTTAAAAATACCTCTTATTATAACATTCATCTTCTTTTTGACGTTTTTAACAGCAATGAAAATTGGGTTTGTTAAGGATAAAGGAAAATTGGTAGACATTGGTTCGATCGGTAAACTAGAAAATCGAGGAGAAAGCGTTTTCGGATTTCATTTTATTTATCAATCCCCTTTTGTACAGGGCTGGGGGCCTCGGTTAGGGCTACTGATGCCTTGAGTTAACTCGTCATACCGAAGACCCAGGTTCGATTCCCCATAGGGTACTATGTGTGAAGACCATCTGGTGATGTTGCTCCTCGGATAAGAGTACAAACACACTTACTCACACTCATAAATACAAAAGAAAACTGATTATCAAATAAATAAAAACTATAAGTGACTCATTCTCAATGAAAAGCATAATATAACGTAAGCTCACTTGGTCACGGTCGCCAAACATCGCTCATTAACATAAAACTCATTCAATGTCGTCTTTTACATTCAGGATTCTTCTATAGTAGTCGTTTACGACACGAAAACAAGAAAATTATGTTTGTTTGAATGCATCGCGCAGCCGTTTTGAGAGTCACCGGGCGCGACGTCATGTCAGTGTGCCGTCAAGTTTTCAGGTGTCATACAGCAGGGATATGACTTTAATGACATGACACTCACGGACAGTTAAGGGGATGAAAGAAAAAGCACAAAAATCTAACTCCATAAAATATTCTTCCTCCATTGTAGAATAAAATACGAAAACTTTGGTATAGTCTCTTGACTAGACCGACATGCAGTCTCTCACTGTCATAACGTTTTAAACCAAAGATATTTGGTGAATGCAGATGGAAATATCTGTCCAATTAAACATTCTACACTGTACAGAATAGAAAAGTCGGTGCGAAGGATTCGTCCTCAAACTATCAGTACAATTAATCCATATCTTATCACTGACATCTGTGTAGATTTACATCTCTACAAGTTTCTACTAACTGTGCTTCAGAGTCACATCTTGTCTCCCAGATGCTAGATAGTATATTTGATAAAAGAAAGAAATCCAACCTCAGTCTTGATTGCAGGTCAATACTGTTGCAAGTCTATTTATATTATTATCAGCACCATTTGGTAGGGCTGCGCAATATAACCGGTTTACCGGTTCAGACATGAAAACGATACGTATTGCGATACGCTGATCGAAAACCGGTATTTTGACTTGCATTCGGAAAACTTCGTAACACTCGGAAATCTTCGGATATTTCCTTTTTTTCATTTGTGCCAAATATTATTCACTGTTTTATTTTTAATCATGACTAAAAGTTGTTATTAAAGCTTAATCAAGCATAGTGATTTTGCTGTGTATTTGCTCTATAAATCAAGCATTACCTCGATTATAAGTAGTTTTTTGTTTAAAAATACTTCATGCAATATATTGCAATACATATCGCAATACATGCTTTCGCATCGCAGTATATCGCAATATGGAAATTCTCTGCAATACCCACCCGTGCCATTTGGATCATGCTGCATTTTTTTGGTTTGATCGGCATTCTTGAAGTCTTCAATCCACCCATCCCAGGGGGACAACAACAAACACACAAAACCACCCACACACACACAACAACAACAACAACACACACACACACCACCCCCACACACACACCCCCACCCCGTGTATCCGCCCGCCGATGGATTTTCCCACTGTATAGGCTATACCCCACCGCCATTTAATACCGTAAATATTTCACCACGGTTTCCGGCATGGACTTCGTTTATTATAAATATACACGCTGTGTTATTACTTGCCAAATCATCTTTAACGTGAGTGGAATTCTATTTTAATGAAACTGTGTTTGGAACTTCATATGAGCTTATTGTTACCTGTTTTATACCTTCTGTTTTCCTAAACAATTCATGCCAGTCAGATAAAATGTATTAATATTTTTCTATTAAAAAAAATAAAATATGTATTGGGATGTCCCCACGCACGTGTACATTTCAGAACATACGATTCAAGTGAAGTCTGCTGAAGCCGCAGGCTGTAATTAACAAGAAATCAGGCCACGCTCTCATGCGCGATATGCACGGGCTGTCAATCACAGCATCAGACAAGTGCGTGTTTCATTATTGAAACTGATAGATATGCACGTTGAACAGGTGCGAGTCGAAAAATGGCGCCTATTACTTAATCTCGGCTATTATTCGTGTTGTGCTTTTGTGACCGAGACATAAACTGAAATGGACATCTGTCTGAATGTACAGCTATCAGCCGGTAAACCTGTGGGAATATTAGGCCACAGATTACGGTTTTCAAACTTAACTTATATGTGCCGGTTTGGGGCTAATGTCAATAAAAGCTTGGCAATTGTTATGTTTTGGGCTTTGCGTTGGTACGTAATATGGTCCCTCAGCCTAGAAAACCACACAACAGAATTTGTATCAGCTGTGACCGATTTATTTAGTTTATAGATAGACCTACTCGTCACAAAGAGAATTTCTTTATTATGTAATTTTTAAATGGGATTTTAAATTGGTTAATATTCTGGTATACTGAGTGATTTCGTTCTAAAAAAATGTCAAATGATTCGTTCCAGCGATGTTAATAATATCACTATAAAATGCCGACCCTGATGCCATGTAATGCTTGAATAATCACTGAACTTATGTCCAAAGTAGGGGACACGCTTTTTTTCGTCAGTATGTCAACGCGTACATTGATGAGGAAACCTCACATGACTTTCGTGTGAAAACACTTTAACAGTTATCTCCCTTTTATAACTCTTATCAACGAGATCCTGTCTTTTTTTTATTAATTCCTCATGTGCGAGTACTGCGCACTCGTATACCGTACACAGCACCATTTGTCGGACTGAAAACTCTCAACAGGACATTCATGATAACGTCACGATTTGATAGGGAGCGGTAGCCACTGCAAGGGGTCTTCGCTGAATCTCGCTGCAGACGACGTTGGACGGAAAGCATGGCGAATTGTCTGTAAACAGTGTCGGACGAGAAGCGATTGTTTACACTTAACGAGACTAGTGTCCTGTGCTGCCAAATATGTCGTCGAAGAAGGTTATTACGGTCGGATCACGCAAGAGCCAGGTAAGAATGTTATTCATGTTTTTTTGATATTCATGGTGGACCCATGTGTCTGTCGAGAACTTGCTGAGGTCGACCGCTTCCTTTCAACTTGTCACCCAGATCCATTGAATAAACCGGATTGCGATTGACTGAGAGAGTTACTGATCTGCCAGAAAATGCTGCGTCATGTTTACGAATATTACTCGACCATATCCTTGACTGTCCCTGAACTCTAAACGTAACCAGTGATGATATCGGGAGAAACATGCTTGTCGTGAGACGAGATCACTCAAACTGTTATCTAAGTTATATGGCTAAAGCTATGTTTATTTGATCATTGTTGATAGAAACAAAAACTACAATGTAATTTAACAGGAGCTCCAGTAAGATGGTAGAAGCTGTCCCTGTTGCACATCTAGACTTGCTCTGTGTAGATATTTAGCGTGTCAGTAAGGGCGGGGTGGATTGACGGGGACATAATTTGGTTGAGTGAATGATGGACGCTCGTGGATTAGACTTTCGGTTCCCAGTATATGTCCTCACTGTTGGAACCAGGAATGTGTTACATTGTTTGAATTTTGGGTCCACCATCGACACCATCAGTCCACATTAACTGTCATGCTACAGCGATTAGCATTTATCAATAATCTACATCAGTCTCTGTTTATAAGTCTACAACTGTCTACATGGCTGTCAGCTAAGTCATGAGTCACAACCAGTCTACATACTGTTGTCAAACATACAAACTGTATATTAGTAGTCTACATACGCCAGCCTGACTGAGCCAACACTTTAACTAGTTTAACCACTAGGCTACCCCATTGCCCCTACACCAGTCTGAATTCTGTTTATGAGTGGTCACCAGTACAATACTAGCCTATATATTAAAAATATACTGTTTATCCATAGTTCCCACTACACTACTTGCCTATGTACTGTTTATCCGTATGTTTATATGTTATATTTGGGATTACACTTTCTTAGTAAAGTACAGATTCTTTCTTAGTAGAGAACAGATTAAAGTACACAGTGCACAGATTAAAGTCAGCTGTAGCTGAGCGTGTTAGGCGGCTGACTTTGTGTGCTGGCTATTAGGTACCTGACTCTGAAGGTGTGGGTTCGAATCCCGGATGGGACTCAACCCAACAAAAGTACTAGAGTCTGTACTTTACTAAGAGTGTGTAATCCCAAATATAACTTGTTACACTTTCTAAATGGCATTGTGTAATCATGTTTATCCGTAGCCTATATGCTGTTAATCAGTAGTCACCAGTATAATATTAGCCTATATACTGTTTATCAGTAGTCATTGTACCAAACTGCCACATAAATATAAATAGTACATTTACTAATACCCAACAGCTTTCTTATATTTGAAAATGTTCCGGACTCCACCAAAAAATGTTCTTTAAGAAACTATCATCATTGAAAACGCAAAAGTTGTTATCTGTCGCGGCGGGGTGAAACCGGAGAAACGGAACAGCCAGTCATGGCGGGGGGACATCTCAAAATCTATTCCGGGAGACCTGTCGGTTCCTCGTCTGTCGTAGTGTCATAGTTACGACTGAAAGGGATGACAAGTGGTGCCACAGTTGCCTGTTGTAAGCCATCCCGAGACCAGTGACCTTGTTCAGTGACGTTAGCTACCTTGTTGACACAGTTTTGCCAAGTTTCAGTTGTGATTTTGTTAAGGGATTCCTTAACCAAAACCTCTACGTCACGTAATCTAAAAGTTGTGTTTGATCTGGCAACATCTCCTTTGACAATACCCCATATCATTTCGATGGGGTTAAGGTCACGGTGATAGGGTGGAAGTCGCAGAATATCATGACCCTTACTTTGTTTGTAGAAAGGTTCACCTTTGTGGGTTTTTATGATCTCATATAGCTGAGGCTTCGTTGCCTTTGAAGGCCGTGCGATCTGAAATTTGTCGAGCCATGATATCATATCACCTTTTCGACTGTTCGATGTCGGGCTTTACTGTCGGGGTCCTGCACGCTGTGGTATAGGGCATTGTCCATTACATTAAAAGACTTCTCTGGTAGAGGTGGTACCAACTTGTTTTTAACCCAGTCGAGGAAAACATCACCATTCATCTCGGAATGGTAGTCTCTGTTATCTGTGGACTTTGCCCTGAATACCAAGTCGCAGCCTGGGAGAAAGCCTTTGCTGGAGCAACCAGCATGGAGAATGATTAGTCTCTCTCCTTTCCCTAGAGGCAGCTTTCTACGTGACCCCTTATCACCCCCATCGGGTACCCACTGACTGCTGGCAGTGTGCGAGGCATTGACCCAGGTCTCGACAAGTACACTGGCTCGAACCCTTCCTCGCGCTTCTTCTTTATAACCCTGAGAAAATTATTTCTCAAGCGAACGATATCAGGGCGTTCACAGAGTACTGACCTATTCTGCCCCGAAATTTTCTTATAACGATACCCGAAAGAGTGTAAGAGTCGCCAGAGTGTGTACTTTGATACTCTGAGGTTGTGTTCTTGCTTCAAATGCTTTTTATCCCACCGGCATGTAATGCGGTGGGATATAGTTGTCGCCTCGTCCGTCTGTCCGTCCGTAATCATTTTGTTTCCGGAGCATAACTCAAAGACCATTCGATATTTTTCAACAAAAATTGGTAGATATGTCAAACATAACCTAAGGTGGTGCCTTTTGCTATTAACAGATTTTTGTCATTTTTATTTTTCTTGGTTTCCATGGAAACATTTTGGACTTAGTCTCAAAAAGTAAGGATTGCTTTCGTTTCCGGAGCACAACTCAAAAAAAGGTATAATATTTTTCAACAAAACTTGGTAGATATATCAAACAGATCCTAAAGTTGTGCCTTTTGCTATTTGCAGATTTTTGTTATTTTTATTTTTCCTGGTTTCCATGGAAACGATTTGGACTTAGTCCCAAAAGTGAGGGGTGGGCTTCGTTTCCAGAGCATAACTCAAGAACCGTTCAATATTTTTCAACAAGACTTGGTAGATGTATCAAACATAACCTTAAGTGGTGCCTTTTGCTATTTGCAGATTTTTGGCATTTTTATTTTTCCCGGTTTCCATGGAAACGATTCGGACTTAGACCCAAAAGTGAGGGGTGGGCTTCGTTTCCGGAGCACCACTCGAAAACTTCTCAATATCTTTCAGCAAAACTTGGCAGATATGTGAGGCAGATCCCAAAGTGGTGCCTTTTGCTATTTGCAGATATTTGTGATTTATTATTTTCTCGGTTTCCATGGAAATGATTTGGACTTAGTCTCAAAAGGAAGGGGTGGGTTTCGTTTCCGGAGCACAACTGGAAAACTTCTTAATATCTTTCAGCAAAACTTGGCAGATATGTGAGGCAGATGCCAAAGTGGTGCCTTTTGCTATTTGGCAGAATTTTGGCATATTTATTTTTCCCGATTTTCATGGAAACGATTCGGACTTAATCCCAAAAGGGAGGGTGGGCTTCGTTTCTGGAGTATAACTCGAGAACCGTTCAATATATTTCAACAAAACTTGGTAGATATATCAAACAGAATCTTAAGTGGTGCCTTTTGCTATTTGCAGATTTTTGGCATTTTTATTTTTCCTGGTTTCCATGGAAACGATTCGGACTTAGTCGCAAAAGGAGGGGTGGGTTTCGTTTCCAGAGCACAACTCAAAAACTTCTTAATATCTTTCAGCAAAACTTGGCAGATATGTGAGGCAGATCTTGAAGTGGTGCCTTTTGCTATTTGCAGATTTTTGTGATTTATTATTTTTCTCGGTTTCCATGGAAACGATTCAGAATTAGTCTCAAAAGTGAGGGGTATGTTTCATTTCCGAAGCACAACTGGAAAACTTCTTAATATCTTTCAGGAAAACTTGGCAGATATGTGAGGTGCCTTTTGCTATTTGCAGATTTTTGTCATTTATTTTTTTCATGATTTCCATGGAAACGATTTGCACTTAGTCTAAAATCAAGCTGGACTTTAAGTAACTGTCAGATGATTTGTTCTTTCAAAGATGTGGGGGCCGGGGGGATATGTCATCTTCTGATGACTCTTGTTTAAAATTTTCAGCGACATGTATTTGTTTTCAGAATAAAGCTTGTTGATAGACTGCCTTACAAGGTTCTTTTGAAAATTGTCCAAATGTTTTAATTTGTGATTTTGACACGACCCCTACCTGCTTCGCATCACTAGAGCTGTGTATCGTGGCCTAAGTGGCGAGACGATATATCCCGATACAAGTTTAATGAGGCGAGACGATATATCATGAAAGTATTGGCAAGGAACCTGCGAGACGATTATCATCACGATACAGTGATGGCGATACGATACTTATCTCGATACTTTACAATCCTAAAAACAGGACATATATGATACATAAAATGACTGAAATTTTATTTGTTATTCAGCAGAACATGTGTTACATTCACACACACTTAAAAGGCTGTTCATGTAATAAAGTTTCAGCATTTAATGCTTAAGAAAGTACAATCAAACATATTCAGTATACCTTGCTCTAGGTTTCCCTTGGAAAGTTGTGTTTCTGCACCAATGCTTGCACAGACAATTTATACAGTAATTTATACCAGAATCACTGCAAAAAACTCATAAGTATGCTTTCTAAATTTTATCTTCTCTTTCTTAACAAAGCTAAGACATCGTTCATAGTTGTTAATAAATGGTGTTATTTGTCAAACAACTAAAACATGTTTCAATTACTTAAAGACAAGTCTTTACAGTTCACAGAGATTGTTCACATGCTTTCACTGATACACTAACTCCTTTGTTCATGTAACAAAGATGGCAGACACAAACAAATTCCTTTTAGGTTCAGTTTGTTTTTAAAATTCAGAAACATTTCAAAGAGACTCCCTTCCTATTACTTATGCAATACTCCCTACAACTTTAAGTAATATTTAAGTAGTATCGGGATATATCGTCTCTTGTGGCGATACATCGATGTATCATGGACCCTCGCGATATAAATATCCTGATATATTGCCTAAACGTGTTTTGTATCGATGCACTCGTATCGCGTAGTTGACGATGCAAACATCGATACTATCGATGAATTGTTACACCACTACGCATCACCCTCACAATGTTTGTGTTCCAGAACATTTGTCAGTACCCTTGCTGATACTCCTAAAGCTTTTGCTGCCCGCTCACGGAATTTATTAATGGCATAAAATGGTTTGCCCCTTTCGGCTTTAGCACGGATAAAATCGTACACTTTAATCATCAACTGTTTCACGTCAGCATTCAACTTCATTTTTCATCAGGCATGTGTATCCCATGCACGACGAGATAGTGGCTGTTCCGTTTCTGCGGTTTCACCCTGCCGCGACAGATAACAACTTTTGCGTTTTCAATGATGATAGTTTCTTAAAGAACTTTTTTGGTGGAGTCCGGAAAATTTTCAAATATAAGAAAGCTGTTGGGTATTAGTAAATGATAAACATATGTACTATTTATGTTTATGTGGCAATTTTGTACAATGATAAAATTTGCAATTCATCGGTCCGCCTATATTATCAGTGTCACTCAAACTGTTTATCAGGAGTATAATATTAGCCTATATAAGTTTATCAGTAGTCACCAGTATAATATATATGCCGTTTATCAGTAGCCTAATATTAGCCTATATACTGTTTATCAGTAGTCACCAGTATAATATTAGCCTATATACTGTTTATCAGTAGTCACCAGTATAATATTAGCCTATATACTGTTTATCAGTAGTCACCAGTATAATATTAGCCTATATAATGTTTATCAGTAGTCACCAGTATAATATTAGCGTTTATCAGTAGTCACCAGTATAATATTTATCAGTATAATATTAGCCTATACCAGGGCCTAGATTTATTAGAAGCTCTCTTAGCGCTAAGATAAGTCGTAAGTTAATGTTAATGTATGGCACTTACGACTATCTTAGAGCTAAGAGAGTTTCGAAAAATCTAGGCCCAGTACACTACTATCCTGTATAATGTTTATCAGTAGTCAAGGTAAGTGAGTTGTTTGTTTCTCCCTAGACTAACAACTAGTCTCTGAAATGAACATATGTTACTGAAAAAAGTTCATAGTAAAAAAAAAAAATATAATGAAAAGGAGCTCTGAGACTTTCTTCATTTTCTGAAGCTGAGGAAATCTAGACTTGCCACATTTTCTAGACTTGCATGGGCTTTCTTGGATATATTTGCTTCAGGGTCTGTACGAGAGACTAGTTTCTCCCATGCTCTCATTTTTGTGAAACCCAATCAAGAAAGCCACAAAGCCTGACCAGCCAAGGAGCATGGGTAGCACAGTCCTCTAAGTCACTGGATTTGGCTGTGCCGAGTTGTATCCCATGTACTGCCAGAAGACCTGTGATTCTTGGTTTGAAGTTCAATACGCCTTGATTCTGTTGTTTTTTTCAGTTTGTCAGAATCATACATGTGCTGGTGACTTTCATAGCTGTGTAATTGTGAAACCAGGCTCACTTCAGGCTTTCATCCCACGTTTAAGTGATACACCATGATTCTGCCCAAAACTCACACTCCCCCGATCACCTGTTGACATGCTGAAGCCTCTGACTGAGTGCAAGCCCTTTGAATATATCTCTTAATTCGGCAAGCAGGAAACTCCAGCTTTCCTTGATTTGTCACTGATGAGGTAGTTTTGTTTGCATAAAATACTGCTGTCATGCAGAAAGATATGTGTAGACAGTTTGTGCTATAGACTACTTCCCTGATTTTGACATCATTTTCAGTAGAATGTAGTGTTACTGTGTGGACTTGCAGTAGTGGAGCTTGATAGACCGAACCAAATTTTACTAGACTTATGTTTTGGCCAGTGGCTTCAAAGACAGTGAAGACATCTATTTGTTTTGCTCATGTCTGTTTTATTTTACTTTCAGCTCGCTCTTATCCAGACAAACTTAATAATCGACAAACTCAAGGAAATTAATCCAGATTTGAAATTTGAAATTGGTGAGTTGCATTAATTGTGTTGACAATTTCCTAGAAAAGAAAATGTGAAAAATATATATGTGCAGCAAAGAGACCATTCTCAGGCCTCAACCATGTTGACTTCTCCAGAGCTGAGTACTTGCAGACCAGGGCCACGTTTCACAAAGCGATCGTAGCGCTACGACAGTCGTAAGTCTATGTTAAACTATGGGGGTTACGATCAACTTAGCGTCAGATCGCTTTGAGGAACGGGGCCCAGGGTGCCATTGTACAATGCAACCTTAGTGCTATGCCAGTCATAAGTCTATGTTATGGTATGGGAGTTACGATCACCTTAGGGTTAGATTGCTTTGTACAACGGCACCCAGGGCCCACGTTTCACAAAGCGATCGTAGCGCTACGACAGTTGTAAGTCTATGTTAAACTATGGGGGTTACGATCAACTTAGCGCTACGATCTCTTTGAGGAACGGGGCCCAGGGTGCCATTGTACAATGCAACCTTAGTGCTATGCCAGTCGTAAGTCTATGTTATGGTATGGGAGTTACGATCACCTTAGGGTTAGATTGCTTTGTACAACGGCACCTAGGGCCCCGTTTCACAAAGCGATCGTAGCGCTAAGCGCTACGACAGTTGTAAGTCTATGTTAAACTATGGGGGTTACGATCAACTTAGCGCTACGATCGCTTTGAGGAACGGGGCCAAGGGTGCCATTGTACAATGCAACCTTAGTGCTATGCAAGTCGTAAGTCTATGTTATGGTATGGGAGTTACAATCACCTTAGGGTTAGATTGCTTTGTACAACGGCAACCAGGGCCCCGTTCTGCAAAGTGATCGTAGCGCTAAGTTGATCGTAACCCCCATAGTTTAACATAGACTTACGACTGTCGTAGCGCTACAATCTTTATCTAGATCTTCTCATAGGCCAATACCTATGTTCAATGTAAAATTACCCAATTGTTTAGAATGCATGAAAAAAAATTGTAACATAAACTTGAAATTTGAAGAATATCATGATTTGTTCCAAGTTTGTTTGTTAAGAGCATTTACTTAAGAATCATAGATAAATTCCTAGACCTACCAGATGTGAAAACCTGCATCCCATGGGCAGAAAATTTCAAAACAATTAAACAATTGTACAGTGAGTGAGTTTAGTTTTACGCCGCACTCAGCAAGATTCCAGCAATATGGCGGCGGTCTGTAAATAATTGAATCTGGACCAGACAATCCAGTGATCAACAACATGAGCATCGATTTACGCAATTTCCATACGATGGCTTTACATTATATTTGTATTGTATATTCGATAAAATGAAGGAAACAAGCAAAACGATAAAGCTGCATAACTGACAAAAATATCAATTTCTTCTGTTCATTCAAAATGCTCATTACATGCTCTTTGAAAACAATAACCAATATGCTTGTGCAGAGATATAACCTGGTGGTTTCAGCATGTGCTCGTCACCCCGAAGACCTTGGTTCAACAATCTGCATGCATAACATGTGTAAGGTCACTTTCTGATGTGTAATTAGTTCTTATGACTGTTGCCATGGTTTTGCTGGAACATTTCAAGAAGCAGAAAAGAGCTTTACACACTCACCACAAAAATCATCTATTTATTCAGATTTTGACTTTTTCCCCTTATTTCAATCAGGGATGCTGTGTGCTCAGAAGAACTGACAAAGGGTATCCCAGATTAAATTTAAATATTTGGAGTTTGTGAAACTATAGTATAGCACCTTTTATTTTAGTTACAAGTTTTATGCACCTTCTATGCTGTTATTTCCAGCAGACATCTGGAGATGGTTACCTAAGTTGGATAATTTGTTCGTCATCCCTTTCTTCACTGAATAAAATATGTTTAAATCAAATCAAATCTGTTTACTTTAATTTTGCTTATTTATTTCAGTTTCAATGACAACAGTAGGAGATAGGATCTTAGATTCAGCATTATCAAAGGTAAGGGGTATTTCATATATTAGTGTTGGAAATTTAAGTAAGATTGTGTCCCGAAAATGTGTAAAAGATATCTTTTTAGAAAACTGTGCTCAAAGTATCACCAAATTTAGGTAGTTATGTTTTCTGCACACATGACACTATGTAAACACAGTAACTTGGAACCTGACACTCACTCCATTTCCCTGCTCCTAAGGGGGGTGGGGTAGCCTAGTGGTTGAAGTGTTTGCTCGTCACGCCAAAGACCTGGGTTTGATTCCCCACAGTGGGTACAATGTGTGGAGCCCATTTCTGGTGTCCCTGAGTCATATTGCTGTGAAACTATACTCACTGGTAAAACTATACTCACTCACTCCCTTGTTCCTAACCACCTCTTCATACATGACACTATGTACAGTCGTGTCCCGTTTATCCCAACCTCAGATGTCCGGAAAACTCACCTTCCAAACGAAAATTCCTTAAAATGAATTCACAACGTTGTAAAATTACTCACCTATCCGGAAATCTGGTTTCCGTAACCAGACGGTCATTTTCACATACAAAACTCTAAATTATATGCATTTTTCTCTTGTATATCTGGATGGCTGAGCACCTGTCAGTATGTTTACACACGCATTTTACCGAGTGGCCTTGTGTGCCCTAACATTAAAGAAGTCGGCAGTCTTTGAAGCGTGAGAGGATTAACTACCTGTAATTAGCAAGGTGACATTGAGTTAATTTTGAGTTGCTTTTGAGGCAAGGCTAGATGTAGTGGTAGTTGTATTGGTAGTGACTTTAACCTGGAAGTTTTTGTTAGGTACAGGAACAATGCAAAAACATGGATGACATCAGAACTGTTTTGTGATTGGTTGCAAGCATTTGCAGACAGATAAGATTGAGAGGTAGGCGTGATATATTATTGATGGACAATGCAGCTAGCCACACACACACACACACACCCCCAATGTGAAGTTTACACATGTCAGATTGCACTTCCTGCCGCCCAACACGACTGCAACGAAGCTCGTGTCTGCCTTGACCAGTTGATCAGCTACTACCTTTCTTTGTATGTCTTTTCACATATGGTCCTTAATTTGGATATCCTGAAATTTGTTTATCCGGACAATTTCAAGAAAAACACAAGTGTCTGGATAGTGTACTAGTACTACTACAATAATTTTGAATGTGACATATATTCACCCCCGTCCCCATTCCTAATCACCTCTGCAAACATGACACTATGTAAGTACAATAATTTTGAGCATGACATATACTCCCCCCTGTTCCTAACCACCTCTTCAAACATGACACTATGTAAATACAATAATTTTGAATGTGACATATAGTCACTCCACACACCCTGCTCCTAAACACATCTTCATACATGCTGTTATATTCTACAATAATTTTGAACGTGATAGGTATTCACTCCCCTTCCCTCATATATGCTCTTAACCTCAAAATTATGGCACATGTGGCAAGACTAGGACCTTGTATATCATTGTCCTCCCAAATAGGATTGAGTATACCACACATCACAAGTCTAGGACCTTGTATGTCATTGTCCTCCTAAACAGTATTGAGTATATCACATATCGCAAGTCTAGGACCTCGTATGTCATTGTCCTCCTAAACAGTATTGAGTGTATCACACATCACAAGTCTAGGACCTTGTATGTCATTGTCCTCCTAAACAGTATTGAGTATATCACATATCACAAGACAAGGACCTTGTATGTCATTGTCCTCCTAAACAGTATTGAGTATGTAACACATCACAAGACTAGGACCTTGTATGTCATTGTCCTCCTAAACAGTATTGAGTATACCACACATCACAAGACCAGGACCTTGTATATCATTGTCCTCCTAAACAGTATTGAGTATATCACATATCACACAAGACTAGGACCTCTGTATGTCATTGTCCCTCCTAAGGACATGTCATTGTCCTCCTAAACAGTATTGAGTATATCACATATCACAAGACTAGGACCTTGTATGTCATTGTCCTCCTAAACAATATTGAGTATATCACATATCACAAGACTAGAACCTTGTATGTCATTGTCCTCCTAAACAGTATTGAGTATATCACATATCACAAGACTAGAACCTGGTATGTCATTGTCCTCCTAAACAGTATTGAGTATATCACATATCACAAGACAAGGACTTCATGTATGTCATTGTCCTCCTAAACAGTATTGAGTATATCACATATCACAAGACAAGGACTTCATGTATGTCATTGTCCTCCTAAATAGTATTAAGTATGTCACATATCGCAAGTTTGGGATTTTATGTATGTCATGGGCCTGAAAATTAAACAGCCAAGAGGACTAAAATAGGTGCACTGAAAAGAAAATGCCAGCTACAAAAACATCCATGGGAGACAGAGCTTTCGGTGCTGCTGCACCAGCTTTGTGGAACTCTCTGCCAGTTGAACTGAGATCAGTATCTTCCCTGGAAGCATTTAGGAGCCAGCTAAAAACTCATCTTTTTCTAGTTACATACTAGTTTCTCCACTTTCTCTGCACAGCACCACTGAGCAGCACTGGTTGGACATTAGGTGCTTAAACAAATGTATTATTATTATTATTAAGAACATACCAATGAATTTCAGGGTCGATGTGAGTAATGGGATGGGGTGGTCAGACTTGCTTATTTGGTTGACACATGTCATTGTATCCCAGTTGTATAGATCAATGCTCATGCTGTTGAACACTGGATTGTCTGCCAGACTTGATTTTCAACAGATTTTCAACCACCATATAGCTGGAATACTGCTGGAATACAGCATTACAGAACAAATAAACATTGAAAAGAACATTCCTATCCCTGGGGGATCTTGTCGTGAATGGCAAAAGTTGTACCCAGTTGAATGCGACAATACTGCATTCACACGTTGTAAGTGGACAGTTGGACCCTGCCAGTTGGACCCTGGCAGTTACTGAAATGATTGATGATATAACACTGAGAATACTATTTCATCATCTGAACTTCAGATTGGTGAGAAGTCCCTGTTCACAAAGGAACTAGAAGACTCCCTCAAGGACGGCACAGTCGACTTTGTGGTGCACTCTCTGAAGGATCTCCAGACCGTGCTGCCAGAAGGGATGGTCATCGGATGTGTAAACAAGTATGTACATTCAACACTTGGAATCCTGTCTATAGAATACAACTTAATAAAAATAATATCATTTTTCATTCATATTAATGGTTTACATTGTAATTTTGTAATCTTCAACTTTATTGTAATCTGAGTGCATTTGTGAGGATGACAGACACAAGAGTTATTTCCCTTTGAGCATTTGTTCAGTTCTGTAAGTGTGTATTAGTGTAATATTGTGCCTGTTTCTCAAAATGTTTATGTTTACTAGATATTTGTCATCTTTGTCTAATTTCTCATGAATACAGGCACATTGGGTTAAAACTACCTTACAGTTCCATATTGGCTGTAATAAGCACCCTGTGACCTAGGAAGATTGACCATTGGGAGCAGTTGTAGAACCATACATTTATTTTTACAGAGAGTCCAAGTAGTGAACAAGTAGTGGATAAAACTAAAAATCTGTTACAAAATTGTTTAAGTTATTACCCAGTGACGTACACCCTTCTATACTGTTTCAATGAAACATCTGTAACATAGAAATACTGACTGTAAACTTTCTGGGAGTCACTTCAGTTGTTTGCTTATTTACTGATCATGAAGTGATGGTGGTTGATATCGTGGCCACAGTGTTCATGTTCTTCAGTGTTTAATTCACATTTTAGTGGGTGATAAATGTTTGATCACCATGCCAAACATCGGTTTCAGTTCCCACATTGTTACAGTGTACGAAGGACATATCTGGTGTCCCCCCAGTCTGATATTTGTGTAATATAACTGTATTGACTCTCTCACTTTGTTGACAGACGGGATGACCCCCATGATGCAGTGGTAATGCATAAGAAACACGATGGCAAGACTCTTGAAACTCTACCAGAGGGAAGGTGAGCTTCAGTGTGGAAAGACCTGTGAAAATCCGGGTTAGAATATTGGCCTTCAGTAACCCATGCTTGTCTTATGAGGCGACTCACAGGATCGGGTGGTCAGACTCGTTGACTTGGTTAACACATGTCATCGTATCTCAGTTGCGTAGATCAATGATCATGCTGTTGATTACTGGATTGTCTGCTCCAGACTCGATTATTTACAGACCGCCACCATATAGCTAAAATATTGCTGAGTGTGGCGTAAAACTAAACTCACTCACTCACTGAAATGTGGGAACGTTCCCTTGACTGTGAGTGCTTTTTGAGTATTGCACACAGTTAACATGTACAAAGTGTCCCTTTAGCGACAAACAGGAGATAACATGCTTAGTCAGCGAAAATATGAATGTGCAATGAAACATACAGGATGATTTACAGGTTCAGTTGTGTTTCCCGCTCTGCTTGCTGTAGTGGTTTGTGCAGGGATTAAGGTGACTGTGTGTATTTGTCTGGTAAAGAGAGCCAGAAATAGCAATTACCTGTACACACTTTTCACCTTTACGGAATCCTGGAACATAGCTGCAGATGAATAACATATAACGTTCTTGGCACTGCACAGTTAAGATTACCGGTAATCACCATGGTAACATGGACACAAATATAGGCCACAACACACAGATCACCTGGGATTTTGTGTTAGAGTGCACCACAGGGAATATACTGATCTAATTGTGTTTTCTCTCCAGTGTTGTAGGAACAAGTTCTCTCAGAAGGATTGCCCAGATTAGGAGGAAGTTCCCTCATCTATCCATAAAAGATATTGTATCCTTGCTGACTGACAGCCTACAGTCTGTATGGAAGTATCAATGCTGACGATAATGTGCACTTTTTGCATTATGTCACAATGTATTGGCGTCACTGCGCCATTCTAGTCTGTCCCCTCGTAATCGAAGCATCCTCGTACTTTAACTATAATAGTTCAGGGCGAAAGTGTGTTGTATTACACTATATATGGTGGTTGAGCCAACTGTATTTCTTAATTCAAAAACTTCAGTTCAAATTCAATTTCAAATTAATTTTGGAAAGACTGAGACTTGAAAGATGTTCAATATGAACAAACTTTATGGATAACAACTTCTTTTCTTCGTGAGTGCAACATTTTGATAGAGATTCTTGTACCACTGTCAAGCAAGAATTTGTATCAAAACGTCACACTCACGAAATACAGAATGTGTTATCCACCAACTTGAATTCTGTGACTGCTGTTCTGTATTACACCTGTGGTGATCTTCCTTACCTGCATCAGAGAGGGAATCTGAACACCCGCTTGCACAAACTGGACGACAACAACATGTATGATGCAATTGTCCTGGCAGTCGCTGGACTTGACAGGATGAACTGGAGTCATCGCATATCGCAGGTGCATTTTACTGGTGTCTTTCATCAAACTGACCATAGTTGTAATTAGTTGTACTGCTTCCAGCATTTAGAAGTTTCAGGGGGCGAAGGGGTAGCCTTGTGGTTAAAACGTTTGCTCGTCCAAGACCCAGGTTCGATTCCCCAGATGGGTACTGTACCCAATGTGTGAAACCCATTTGTGGTGTCTCCTGCTGTGATATTGCTGGAACATTGCTAAAAGCGACGTAAAACTAAACTCACTCACTCACTCTCATGTATGCTTGTCGTAAGAGGCGGCTAACGGGATCGGGTGGTCAGGCTCGCCGCCTTGGTTGACACATGGCATATCCCAATTGTGTAGATCGATGCTCATGCTGTTGATCATGGGATTGTCTGGTCCAGACTCAATAATTTACAGACTGCCGTCATATAGCTGGAATATTGCTGAGTGTGGCGTAAAACTAAACTAACTCACTCACTCCATTGTCTGCTGATCATCAGCTGGTACATTAGAAAGATGAATTCCTCCTCCCTGGATATGTTGCAGTACTCGTCAAATACCCATTGTACTTTTGAGTTTGAGAAGTTACTCCCCTGGCATATTTGAAAAACACTTCCTATGACAAGGGCTTATTTTTAAGTAAGGTTGTAAAATCTTTGTGGTATTTCGTCTGTTTTTGCTGTGATGTTTACTGAAGATATGTACATCGGACAATTGGATAACAAGATGATAACATTGAAACAAAGAGAAATGTACATAGAGTCCATTCATTGTATTCTGCTAGTCTTTCAATGCATGCAATAAATGCTGCCATCCCTGATCTAAGCAATTGCATTATGTCCCAAATCTATTTTAAGCACTCTGGGATATTTGGTAAGGACACCTGCTATGGCGTTTGGTTGTCAAAGATCCCAAAGGATTTTTCACACAATACAACCCAGAAAAAGTGGAAAGAAAGTTTTGGGAGATTCTCAGATTCAAATACAATTGCTAAAGTCTTCCAAGAGAGCCATTAATTTCATCAGTTTTGACTGAGTTTGTTTCTGGGTTTGTTGCAGAAGCTGATGCCTGATGTGTGTATGTACGCTGTGAGCCAGGGTGCTATTGCTGTGGAGTGTCGGGCTGAGGACACCCACATGCTGGAGATTCTGCAGACTCTCCACCACAGGGACACAGCAATCCGCTGTGTGGCCGAGAGGGCGTACCTCCGCAGACTGGTGAGAAAACCATATAACTCTCAGAGTACTCTCCCTTGGCAGTAGCAGGAACTATTTCAGTCTCTAGTCCTTAACAATATCAACTTACTCTCTCTGGAGACAATAGAAACTACCATTTTTCAGTCACTAACATTTATTTATTATGCAGTCCAGTGTTTTTTCTGTGGCAAAATTTGTATATCACACTGTACTGGTGTCCAGTTGATATTACAATGTTAATTATGTTGTTTATTTAAAAAATCAACAAGAAAACGGACGGTATAGTGGAAAAATTATCAGGGCAAGTGATTTTACATTTGCCACTGTACCGGAGTACACTAGCAATTTTAAAGTTATTTCCACCCCTGATCCATATGGTGAAACATCACCAGTGTCATATATATCATATGAGCACATGTGCACATATCACTTTTGCCTAGCAACCATTGTTTCTGTATTTCATCGTCTGTGACTTCATTAAACAATTGTACATGACGCCAATGAACAGAGCAGTCAAACTTTCTTACCATCTGTTACTGCAGTAAAGAAGTTTCGCAAGGGTGATATGAAATCATGCAAAAACATGACATGCTCGTGTGATAATCTCCCTCAGTCATCATTGAAAATAACAATTTAGATTCTTACACAGTAAATTATTGTGTATCAATCTTTGCACGGAAGTGGTTTTGGAATGACATCTCAAAACATGGTGATAGAGTCTTACACTGTTATCAAGCCAAAGGTGAAAGTCTGTCAGACGCTGGCATCTAGTTGGTTATTGGTGTCTGTTCTGTTTAATGCTGGCATTGTGGCCTAATATGTCAGTGTGACAGGGACAATTACATGAAATACTGGACCTAACAAAGGCCTGGATGCTATAGTTTCGACTAATGTATGACCTGTTGAATATACTGGACAAAATAAGTTAGGGATATGGGTATTTTTATGATTGATATTTTATCAGTGTGTCAATGAATAAATAGATCATTATTCATAATTTCAAAATGTTCATATATCCCTAACTATTTATGTCCAAGTATAGAAGAGGAAGTATGGAACTCTATACATACCTTTAGCAAATAGTATGGACTTGTTCATAACCTGTTGTTTGGTTTCCAGGAGGGCGGCTGCACTGTACCTGTGTCAACCTTCACCGAACTCACGGACGAGAAGGTAGAGTGGCTTATTACTGAAACCAGTTGCTGCACATGAGAACTCGCGTAATGCCTGATACAATACCATAGTTTGATGAAAAATGGGAAGAGTTTCATGGATATACAACGTCTTCATGTAATATGAGCAACGTTTCGGTGTAGCTACTAACTCAGTTATCAAGCATGTCTTGTTCCTCACACCAACTTCTAAATACCACTCAAAGTCATAGTTTCATGGTTTGATCAATCTTGTTCATTCTACCATGACATTGAAGGGTGGTTGTTTGTTTTTGATAAATTAATTTATTAGTGCTAATTGCCTCTGACCACACCACCACAGTGCAAGAGTCATTTCTACCAAATGCAGTGTGGTCATAGTACTGTGAAACTTCAGCAGTGTTTTTAATCAACAATGAATCACCTTAAAATGAAAAACAGAGTAGGTTCATGTCCTAGGTCATTAATGAAACTTGAGTGAAACATGAATCTGAAGTCGCCTGATTTGTAACGGTGTGATCAAGGTTATTTTCATCTCCTTTTGAAAATGTGTTCATGCTGAGTTGTCTCCCTTGGAAAAGACATGCCCAGTGAACTTGGCTATTATAGTGAGGTCACTTGGAAAGCAGAAATATTTGGAAGATTCTATAAATTGAACAAACATGTGAAGCATGTCAGAAAGTCTCTGACAGAATCAGTTTGACAAAAATGACCATTCTGATGGTTTCCTCTGATCCTCATATCACACAACATCCAATATGTCTATGCCTTGTGTTAATGGAAACACAAAATCCAATAGGATCTGTTAGATGTGCATTTTTAATGGTTTCTTATTTTTGACTGTGTTCTGTGGTGTCTGCAGCTGGTGATCCGTGGGGGCGTGTACAGTGTTGATGGAAAGGAGGTGGTGGAAGACAGGTCTGAAGTCCTTCTCCCCAAGAAACAGGTAAGTGACATCAGAGCTCCAGATAAGATTTAGCTCATGTGTGTGCTGTACCCACTGTATTTTTTGGGAGTGGGTATTATGAATGTTGAGTGGGTATTTTATTTTCCGTTACCCACTGCTTTCAAATATGTGGGTATTTCAGTGATTTTACTCACCTAAGTATACGTCATTGAGTAAGTTTACTAAGCAGTTATGTACTGCCTTATGTCATACCTAATCAAAACCAACTTATATATAATGGAAATGATTTCATAAAAAATCACTCATCCTGTACTGACAGTACAACACTTGTCCTATACTAACAGTACAACATGATAGCTATCAATGTCGTTTTCATTACGCAAGTGATTTTTATAGATATATTCTGTACGCATTTGTTTTAAACTTTGTGCTTATCGAACATTTTAAATGCGTAATTGGTACGCAACAATTATTTCTCAATGCGTAATTGGAAATTTTCTGTGTGTATTTTACCCAAATATGCAGCTTATCTGGTCCTCTGTGACATGTAACCGTAACATGAGTATGCCCCAAGGGGACACAGCACCGGTACTAGTAACTCTCACAGGTGTACGGAATGGTTTCGCTGAATCAAATCTTTTTCAATTCAAACTGTTTAAACTGGTGATTTAATTCTGAAGAAAAGTATGTACTTCTGTTCTTTGGTTATTTATTCCCTTGTCACAATTAGCAGTGTAAAGATGGTGATGTTGTTTGAAAATTCCTCAAGTGACCATACTCATCTCGAGTCAAGAAAGACTGACCAAAGTGCATCTGCAGGTCATGTGACTTGGCTGATTGTGTCATCGTCCTCCTACAGTGTTGGACATTGCACAGCCTCTAAACTACTTGAAAATTGAGCTGTGGACTCACTGCATGACCGATGCTGTTTGCCTCTGTTTAATTAGTATAATATTCACAATACTTCTGGACCAGATCAAAATTTTGGATTCAAGCTTGAGTATCAAAGTGTTGAGTTATTGAGTTGAGTGAACATGTGTTTTTAAATGGAGCAGTGAAGCTCAAATTATGCTAAAAAAATTACCTATTTTGATTTGTATTGTTCAATACTATTAAACCTCAAAATTGAATATCCATGTACAGTGAACTATGAACTAGTGGATATAACGAACAAATATATTTAATGGCCCTGGCGACTTGCTGAATATTTTAGTCTAGATGTGTATAACAAACTACAGTTATCAGAACTCAGATTAGTTGTATCTTTAAGTCTGTTATACTGGTGCTTTACTGTAATTAATTTTATTCATGAACATACTGAGGGAAAAGGTATATAAAACAGCAGAAGAAAACCTTTATGTATACTGATGGAGTGAGTGAGTGAGTTAAGTTTTACGCCGCACTCAGCAATATTCCAGCTATATGGCGGCGGTCTGTAAATAATCGAGTCTGGACCAGACAATCCAGTGATCAACAGCATGAGCATCAATCTCCGCAATTGGGAACCGATGGCATGTGGCAACCAAGTCAGCAAGCCTGACCACCTGATCCCGTTGTCGCCTTTTACGACAAGCATAGTCGCTTTTATGACAAGAATGGGTTGCTGAAGACCTATTCTGCCCTGGATCTTCACGGGTCATATACTGATGGAAACAAATAAGGGAACACATTTAAATACAAGTATTCCTTTATTCTTTTCCAGTATTTGTGGCTGGCTTTGTATGGGTGAAAATCTGAAACAAAATAACGGAACACTGGTATGAAGTGATGTTCCCTTATTTGTTTCCCTCAGTATATTTCTTACCAAATATGGTGGCAAGTATTTCCAGTATATATATTTTGATGGTTGTCCAGAACTCATGACCCAGTTCCAGTATCCTAATTCCCTGGTTACTTCCTGACTTGTTCCCAGGATGAAGAAAGCAACGCCCATGTCTACTGCTCCATTGTGGGAGGGAGAAACGGACCCATGCTCTTGGCGGCGGAGAAAGTTGGCATCGAACTGGCGGACAAGTTGATAAAGCAAGGTGCAGCAACTATACTGACTGTCGCCAAGAGGAAGGCTAAAGAAGCAATCGAGGAAGAACGAGTCAGGAAAAGTGCACGTACAGAAAACAATAAAACAGCTGTTTCATCATAAGTTGTTTGAGGAATACCAGAACGAGAATATCTAGTAATATGGGAAAGAGTAAGCTGATTTTGGTGTGAGTGTTTTAGCGTGTACACTGGAGAGCTGTCTTTCGTGATTCCGTAGAATACAGACAAGAAAACAAACGTCCGACTGATGATGAGAGATGTGAACATTTAGGATTGAAACATTTCTGATGTGATTCTTGAATATAATAATATAATTGTTATGAGTGTAAGTGGGTTAATTGCAATAGATTTTATGCACTTTATATGAGCCTCTCAAAGAAGATATATTTGAGCAGTGTTCAGAATGAAGCATGACGATGAAATGATCCTTGTTATAATCTCCAAATACAGAGGTTAAAATAAGGGGTCCTTCAATTTAAATTATATTGGAGCAAACCTCAACAATTAGACTACTTTCCTTAATTTTGAACACTGCATTTGGATAATGAACTTTTCAAACTTCTGTTGTGAGATGTTTTTTGGAAGATATTTTGTTTAATTACTGGGTGGTCTTCTTGTGGATGTTTGTCTCCTGTGTGACAGTTCTCGTGTTTTTTAGTATCTGTATATTTGTTTGTTATTCAAAATAGTAATGAATTATGAGCAAATTGGTTTACTAACCTTAAGCTTGCACAAATGGCCAATGTCGGAGTTAGCCCGAGCAGAGACAACGTTTTAAAGTTGGCAGAAAAGGCTATGTTGAAAGAAGAGTTACTGCCTCTAATATAAATGTTATGGCATGTCAGTGAAGGTTTTGTTTGGTCTGTTTGTCATCTTTGATATAATATCATATTCAAGTGGTACAAATCATTGTCTGAGTAAAACATTAAGACTGTGTAATGAGCAAGGGACTGAAAATTCTTAAATATTTCTTGAATTATATTGTCTTAAATTATATTGATTTTTATGGGTAAAAGTCAGAAAATGAGTTGCGCCATGATGTGCATGCCTGCGTGTGTTTGTCGGTATGTTATGCTTGTCTCGGTGTTGTAGATGCATCTGTTGGAGTATCAATAATCAATATTTCAAATAAGTTTTAAAACTGAAAAATGTGGTTATTTATATGAAGAGTGTATTATATCTTATTTTATCTGTTCCTGGAACACTGTATGTGTGTCTGAATCTGTGTGAATGTGTCTCAAAGTGCTTGTGCCTGTTCATGTTTCTTTGAGTCTGTTAAAGAACATGAGTCAGTGCTATGATAATCTGGATCTCTGCAACCTGATATCTACTGTGTTGGTTCAAGGGTTAAAATATTATCGCAGGTGATAATGGACAATAATCAGTGAATTTATTACACTCATTCAACTGAAAATTAGTTGACAAGGGGAGATAACTCCTGGTGTGGTGTCCATTGATATTGCTTAAGATCCATGAATCACATCAGACATTCATTTATCTTTTTATATCTGTTTTATGAATTCAACTGGACCTTCAAGCATTTACCATTGAGTCATCATCAGCACCTATGATTCTACTAGTTATACAATCAAGTACTTGAATCTGACCAATTTGTGCCTTGGATGTGAATAGGGTGCATTAGAAAAGGAAAATGTGCCTTCAGAGGGCCTTAGACAGTGGGCTCTGTCTTGAAAAGGTTTTTGTCTCCCAAAGACCATGAAAGTGGATATACTGCCTTGAAGCTGGTTCACGTCTTATGTAAGTTACCTATAAATACACACAGCTGTTAATGTCTTTCACAAATGTTGCCGTAAACAGTATATATATGTATATTTCAAGTTATATCATGTAATCTTTTTGCTATGCTGTTGAAATAATTATTGTAAGTGAGGTGTCATCCGCATACTGAAAATTTGTCAATATGATGACAAGAAGGCAGGTGAAAGTTAAATGACTCCATCCTAAAATTAGAGATAAGAATGTTTGTCACCCTTCTTAACATGCAGACATGGATCGTTGATGGCTTGTGGAGCACAGTGGTGTAGTGGTTAGCATGCTGGCCTCTCACGCCAAAGGCCCAGGTTCGAATCCCGGTGGAGACACCAAAATTTGTGACCTGGGTCTCATACTGTGTTGTGTCCCTGGGCAAGGCACTTCGTCCACATTGCACTCAGTCCACCCAGCTGTTTAAAATGGGTACCTGAAAAGCGGATGTACGGACCTATACGGTCACGCTTAGTAGCAGCTTTGAAAGTACAATTCCGTCAGGGTAATAATGTAATGCTAGAGAACAGCATCGCGTTGGATTCTAGGCTCAAAAATTAGCATTATTATTGTAAATTATCAGCTTGTCCTGAATCACTGGATTCATAAAATGTGCATTTAATTTTACGATTTTTATTATCACCCTTTGTATTTGTGAATAATTTTTTGTACAGACATATGAAAGTTTATTTATCTTAAAATCTTGTAGTTATACACAGATCTGAACACACATTTTGCCAGGGGATATTGTTATTTGTATCACATTAGATAGACATTCATTTCAATACTACCACAAGTATATGTGAGATCAGCCTGATGAGTATAACCAGGCCACTGTAAGTACTCTGGAAGCCTCACAATAGCGGGCACTCATTAAACTCATACACAAGGACAACACTTCAGTTTACAAGTTGCCAGTAATGTAATGATAGAACAGGCTGTGGACACATAAAACGTATCCCTAGCTTTCGAAAGAACTGAATGTAGTTCTGTTTTGAAGCTGAAATTAACAAACTTACCTAGAATGTTGATGCTACTGTTTTGTGTATAGGTATGTGTATTAGGCTGTTCTTTACTCATTCAATTTGTTGAGTTTTCATGTATAATATGTATAAAGTAGGGACTGTGTTTTAGGCACCCTTGTTATATTGTTCCTTGTGAGATTTAACTAGTCAGTGTAGGTTGTGCTTGTATACTTGAGATCATATAGACCTCTTGTGACCTTGACCTAACCTTACTTTGACCATTTAATTGGTCAGTTAGTGTAAAGGAGCAGAGAGTGTTCAGGGGCATAGCTACCTTATATAAATAAGCCCGGGCTTACACATGATTTTGAAAATGAAAGTTTAGCAAGCCCTCAAAACTATCTAAATACAAAGCTTTGCAATCTATCAGAATTACACGAAAAAATTGGTTGCTATGCACCTAGGTGTTTTAGTTTGAGTGTTATGGTGTATGCATATCAATTGCTCAGTGTTTCCAAGGGAACTCAGAAAGTCCTTTAGGAATACCAGGACTATGGTTTATGATCTGTTCTAGAGTAGAACCAACCTATTGCTAGCATGGAGTTTACTCACGTCAGGTGAAAACAGTCATCCATATAGGCACTGTGTGAAATCTGAGTCCGATAGGTCAATACAACATGCACCACGTAACGGGTCAGGTGGTCAAGCTTATTCATGTAGTTGATTGTGCATCATTCGCTTTCAGATGAGAGGATAGAAATTGGCTTGATGTATATTAATGGCAATAGGTCAATTCAACTCAATCATCTTCATACAAGGTATATAGAGCCTCCATTGTAATATTAACATACGACGCCATCAAAACATAACAGGTTCAATCCCAGTACCAGAAGCCGTGACATGCCACTCTATTTAAGGGTCAGTCTGTTCTAGTCATACAAGTATGTAAATAGGGGATTGGAAAGAATGTCACAGGAAAAATGTCACGAAAAAAAGTCACAATTTTGCCTAGGAAATAAGTCACAATAACCAATTTTGTTGTATTCAATAAGTTATGTAAATGTCATCATGTTATGTTAATGTCATCATGTTATGTTAATGTCATCATGTTATGTTAATGTCATCATGTTATGTTAATGTCATCATGTTATGTTAATATCATCATGATCATAAAACTTGACTTTTTGTCCATGACATTTTTTCCTGTGACTATCTTTCGTCCATTTTGTCCTAATTCTTCATACAGCAACATTCGTTTAATCACCGATAGTGCCTCTATCTGGTGAGCAGAGGTTGGTGGTTTCTTCTCCTTCATCATGTGTTGCCAGAACACATTAAAACAGCACTGCCCGGTGCCTGTATCGTTGGGTTACGACAAGGACTGGTTGCCAGAAGACATTAAAACAGGTACTTGTTACACTGCCCAGTGTCTGTATCGTTGGGTTACGACAAGGACTGGTTGCCAGAAGACATTAAAACAGGTACCTGTTACACTGCCCGGTGTCTGTATCGCTGGGTTAAGACAAGGACTGGTTGCCAGAAGACATTAAAACAGGTACTTGTTACACTGCCCGGTGCCTGTATCGTTGGGTTACGACAAGGACAGGTTGCCAGAAGACATTAAAACAGGTACTTGTTACACTGCCCGGTGTCTGTATCGTTGGGTTAAGACAAGGACTGGTTGCCAGAAGACATTAAAACAGGTACCTGTTACACTGCCCGGTGTCTGTATCGTTGGGTTAAGACAAGGACTGGTTGCCAGAAGACATTAAAACAGGTACTTGTTACACTGCCCGGTGTCTGTATCGTTGGGTTAAGACAAGGACTGGTTGCCAGAAGACATTAAAACAGGTACTTGTTACACTGCCCGGTGCCTGTATCGTTGGGTTAAGACAAGGACTGGTTGCCAGAAGACATTAAAACAGGTACTTGTTACACTGCCCGGTGCCTGTATCGTTGGGTTACGACAAGGACTGGTTGCCAGAAGACATTAAAACAGGTACTTGTTACACTGCCTGGTGTCTGTATCGTTGGGTTACGACAAGGACTGGTTGCCAGAAGACATTAAAACAGGTACTTGTTACACTGCCCGGTGCCTGTATCGTTGGTAGTTACGAAAAGGACTGGTTGCCAGAAGACATTAAAACAGGTACTTGTTACACTGCCCGGTGCCTGTATTGTTGGGTTACGACAAGGACTGGTTGCCAGAAGACATTAAAACAGGTACTTGTTACACTGCCCGGTGCCTGTATCGTTGGGTTACGAAAAGGACTGGTTGCCAGAAGACATTAAAACAGGTACTTGTTACACTGCCCGGTGCCCAGTATCGTTGGGTTAAGACAAGGACTGGTTGGCTTTGAGTCAGAATAGTTTGAGTTGGATATCCGTGTTACTGTAGCATGATATCTCCGTTGTCTAGCTCTATGTAACCATCATAACTATGAACTTGATGAAGCATACACACGCATACACACACACACGCACATCGCTACAATGCTGCAGAAGTTTTCAACATGAGGTTAATCTTCATTTTACCTTGATTCATTGTTCATAATATATCTTATGTTAACATATAGAAGGGAAATGTATATGCCATTGTTATATATATGCTGTGTGTTTATGGAATTAAGTTATATGATGTGCCAGAGAATGATAGCCGTGTGACATTTTAGTAGAGTGCCTTGTATATGTAGATTTGATTCTAATCTAATCAAATGCGCAACCTGACTGTTTTCAAGTTCATTAATTTTAATACTGCATAATCACATTTCAGAGAGAATGTTTTTCATGAAGTTTTGTCATATTCTATATTCACAAGTGTATATTTTATACTGTGCCTGCATATCAACATGGAAATATTAAGTTATGATTGCCAAAAATAAGAATACTTGTGTTTTTGGTCACCCACTGCAACCAACCGGTTATGTTGCATGTGAAATAACATTTCATCTGTCACTCGATATAAAACCAATGAGCACTTTTATTTTTTATGAATATAACATTGTAACAACTCATGTGAGGATCAGGGTATATTTTAAGAAATAATGGGCAAACGGTGGTAGGAATGATTTCTCACTGGACGTGGGAAACATGTCTCCTGTTGGGGTCAACACATTGTCAATGTTAGACAAAGGGTTCATAGATCGAGCTGATTTGGTGTACAGGAGGTGTTAGAAGTGGTAGGAGGTGTTATAGGTGGTCATGTGTCATGACTTCACTATGTGTCAGCCACGTATATACTACACAAAATATGTTAAAGAGCACTTGTGTTAATCTGTCACGGCAGATGGGTATTGGTACACACAGCCTTCAAGATTGTGGTTGCTGTAATAGAAGTCGTGTACATTCATGAGGGATGGATGAACATAGTACAAAACAGGGCCTAGATTTTCGAAGCTCTCTTAGCGCTATTATTGTCGTAAGTTAATGTTAATGCATGGCACTTACGACTATCTTAGCGCTAAGAGAGCTTAAAAATGTTATGCCCTTCGATGTATTGACAGTGAGAAATTAGAAATACCCTACAGAAATGGGGTTAGTTTGTGAGCATGTCCCAGTGTTGGATTCCACTCACTACTGCAATATGTTATAGACAAATGTGGGTCACATAGCAACTTCCCTATTTACAGAGTAACCATGGAGACAGAAGGTTATGTTTTATGCCCAAGTATTAAACATATGACAAAAAATAATGTTTATGACATCATATTTCCTGTGTCTCTTTGGTTGTGTTTTTTTTTTTTTTTTTTGTGTCAGCCTTATAGGCACCTATAGTGTATGAATCGTGTAAATCATAAATATGTCATTAAAACATAAACGGTAGGCAAGCGCTTTTTGTTTTTAGATTTCCATAGGCCATTGTTTAATTATTGATTTGGATCTGTGCATGATAAAAATAATCTTGACCTTGTTTTGAATTGGTAATAGTAATTCTGTTTTTCTGACATAAGCATACCTTGTTGCTGTTTTACAAAACAACCTTAGCGCTTAGTACTACCTCGTATCCCAATTGGGTAGATCAATGCTTATGCTGTTGATCACTGGATTGTCTGGTCCAAACTCAATTATTTACAGACCAGCTGGAATATTGCTGAATTCGAGGTAAAACTAAACTCACTCACTCACAATGTTAAGGTATGTGAATTACGATCACCTTAGGGCTCCCTGTAAAACAAATATATTATTTTAAAGTGAAACAAATTTTGTTATAAAAAGATATATTTATTAAGTGTTGACGTGTTTTCCAGTAGCAACCAAAGCCAGACCACATGGCTAGGCGTTCCTCTGTTTCTTGCAGGTGGTGTGTGAGTGGGTTTCCAAACCACAGTGGTTTACTTATGGCATGGCGTAATGAATGTAGTATTCCAGAAATTAGCCTAGTTAAATGAAATTGCATGAGTGTAATATTGGTCTGTTTTATTTTGTTACTTTTAAATAATAGTCTATTTACTTTTGTTATACTGTGTGTTGTATTTTAAGGGCGCTATTTTAATCAATATTCTAGTACAAGAAGGTGCATACTGATGAACACCACTATATTCACGATTCAGACCATGTCTTAATAAACTGCTATTTAGAATGTGGAAGTGGTTTTGTTTTGGATTTCAAACCTAATGTGTTCGAGGATGTATTTACACACGCTGGGTACTGATAGTTTTTACTTCATTTGGGCCAGAGTATTGAGTGTATACACGAATGAGTTGTTGTGGAAGAGAACGTTTTGGGGATGCTTGTGTTCCTCAATGTTGTCATTTGCCGTGGGAAAACACAGCCAGTGGAATCACCATTCCAGGTGGCTTGTGGCCGCCTCCGTGGTGTAGTGGAGAGCGGAAGGTCGCGGGTTCGATCCCCGACCGCGTCATACCAAAAGACGTTCAAATATGGTACTTGTTGGTCCCTGCCTGGCGCTCAGCATTAATGGGTACAACAAGGACTGGTCGGCTCGGAGTCAGTATAATGTGTTTGAGTGGGGTATTCATGCTTCACTGCGGCATGGTATCTCAGTGGGCTAGCCAGCACTATAAAACCAGCTTCAGTCTGGGCTAGTACAAGCAGCCGCACATACACATACACACGCATGCACTCCGTCATATGAGCGAAATATTCTCAAGCACGACGTTAAACCCAATTTCACCTCACCTAACCTCCAGGTGGCTTGTACGATTATTGCAATCCTGACAAGTACATACACGTACTATTGAATTCCTGGGAGCTTCAGCACCTCACACAGACATCAACTCCGAAGAACACAAAGCAGACCATGAGAACCGCCATCCACGATAACTAACAGCCCGTGACAACGCTGTAATATTGCCGTCTGTGGCGTAAATAACGTTCACTCAGCATCTCCCAGCTTACTGTCGCGTCGTTCAGATGAATGCATGAAGTAATACCAATGTGCTTCTTGGTGCTTTAAATGATTCACATGCTTGTAAAAGGCCCGTTAATGCAAGTCACCAGTTGCGCAGATTGTTACGTATAATGTCAGTCACAGGATTGTTTGGTCCAAATTCGACTGCTTACAGACCGTCGCCATAAAGCTGGGATATTGCTGAGTAACGCCTTATACAACGTACACATCTGAAGGAAATGTCGAAATGACACCAAACTCCATATATGGAAACTGCCACACTCGTGACGATTCAAGTTGATGAGACCTTCCGCGGCGGAAGGCAATCCCGTTCAACAATACAGTATCCACCATCAGGGCTCGGAATGGGGACCTTGAAGCCCCGTGGAGGCATTTCTATCGCTGTGTCGTTTCGTGAAGTCAACAGGGTACAATATTGACACCACTTTGTTACACGAGAAGTCATACTGACCGTCAACCCGACCATGAGACGTACTGTGTTCTACTGTGTGTGCATTCTGTTGGAAGTCCTTGTGCTAACGTATTCTCAGAGTAAGTGTTTGTTTGTTGCTCATCTATTTCACACTTTGGGCGGTGGGGTAGCCAAGTGGTTAAGGCGTTCGCTCGTCACGCCGAAAACGCGGGTTCGATTCTCCACATTGGTACAATAAGTGAAGCCCATTTCTGGTGTCCCCGTCGTGATATTGCTGGAAGGTTGCTAAAAGCGGTGTAAACATGATGTTGTTGGAATATTGTGAAAAGTAACACTAAACCCATGCACTCACACTTTTGCTGTTTTGTATATACAGTAAATTACGTTTAAAACGAACGCTGTTATAACGAACTGTATTTTGCGCCACGGCCATGTACGGTATATATTAGTCGACATGCGCATAACTTTGGTAAATCAAAAACATTTGCTGGTCCCTCTGACTTTGTTATAGCTGTTGTACATTATGCTAGCTGTTATTAATATGAATCATAGGTTTATCTTGGCCAAGTTCGACATTATCCCCGCCTTTAGGTTAATATCATCCACTAAGGAAAACATTATACAACTTTTTAGGCTAGATTTCTGTTGTGTATGATTATTTGGACAGGGTGTGTGAAGTGTGAAGCTCATTTGTTTGTTAGATAATCAAGTATTCTTAAATTATGTTTGGTTTGCTTGTTGTTAAACGCCACACTCGGCAAACTCCCAGCTATATGGCGGCGGTTTGTAAATAATCGAGTTTGGACCAGACAATCCAGTGATCACCAGCATGAGCATCGATCTGCGCAGTTGGGATATGATGACATATGTCAACCAAGTTAGCGAGCCTGGCGATTCGATCCCGTTAGTCGCCTCTTACGACAAGCATCGGTTGCTGAAGATCAATTTTAACTCGGATCTTCAGGGTCTGTTTAATTAACAATTCTTTCCTTCATTTGTTCATATTGTTTTAAACAAAATAACTGAACGAACTTGCAAACATCAAAATACAAAACCACATTGCCGCACTACGTATGCTATATAACCAGTGTTGATTGTCACAACACTTAATGTTCAGCACAAGTCTCCTCCAACAACCCTGTTAGTCACTAGCATCCCCCTTCCGGTGAAGGAAATCTCCCAGTCACAGCTACACTCATACATAACAAGCCTAGAGGTCAAGGGCTCCAGCAATATCACGGCGGGGGACACAAACATAGGCTTCACACATTGTACCCATGTGCGGAATCGAACCCGGGTCTTCAGTAAGACGAGCGAACGCTATATCCAGTAGGCTACCCAACCTCCCTTCGCCGCTTGTAGCAGCAGTCAAGTAACGTCATGTCGGTGCATACGAGAAACCCGCGCATTTGGCCCGACGAGCGAACGCTTGATTCACTAAGCCAAACCAAACCCTTTGTATGTCATCTAATCCTGGCATGTGTAGGGGACGCAACTCAGCATAGCGAATGACGTCTCCAACGATGACATCCATAGGACGGAGGTGTAATCTCAGTTATTATGCGAATTGTGTTTTACTTGCTTTATCGTTAGTCTGAAGCGAATTGATTTTTTTAAAAAAAAACATGCCACTAAAACCATAACCTTTCACCAAAATATGAAATTGTTGCCTAATGTCCAGAAATTGAATAACGACATGTTTCCCTCTATTCCCCAGCCTGTGTCACACGGTTAGAATTCATCCCGAGGGCCATCACAATAGGAAAGACATCCAACCTCAGCATCACATGCTTCGGGTCGTCAATCCTGCGGCTCCACCTTGACAGCAACCCCATCATGGAAATTCAAAAGTTTACGTCATCAGGGCTGGTAACCTTGGCAACGCTTGATGGAAACGATAATGTTACAAAACACGTGGAAGGCATCGACGTCGTCGGCTTCTTCCCTTCAAAATTTGAGATCGTTATAAACAATCCCGGATGTTCTGACGTCACAAACTACTTCTGCCGCGTCACGAATTTTTCCTGTATGAGAAGTCGGAGGTTGGTGAGACTCGTGACTCCAAATGGTGAGACTAAGCTTGTTGTTAAAAACGCTGCTCCGTTACAGCGACACCGGTGAAACTGTAACCACCCACTCCATTCGGATCTACTTACGATAAATTGTTGGGTCCTGGCGTGACCCGGAAGTAGTGTGGCGAAGGGTTAAATGGAAAAGAAATGAATGTCATGGAATGATTGTAATGACAGTATACGAAAACGCACCATGAGATCACTTTATGTGTTTATTATTGAATCGCTTTAAACCACCGGTGTGTTCACGGCACATTCCCGTACCTGGATAAGCCAGTATTCAACGATCGTGGTTTCGAATCCGTTATTGATGTCAATGTGTGCTTCCTTCCCCCAAAAAGCTGACATAATGATTGTCCTCTATCTATCGTTCTATCTATCGTTCTACCTATCTATCTATCTATATATCGTTCTATCTATCTATCTATCGTTCTATCTATCGTTCTATCTATCTATATATATATCGTTCTATCTATCGTTCTATCTATCGTTCTATTTATAGTTCTATCTATATATCGTTCTATATATCGTTCTACCTATCTATCTATATATCGTTCTACCTATCTATATATCGTTCTATCTATCTATCTATATAGCTATCTATCTATCGTTCTATATATCGTTCTATCTATCGCTCTATCTATATATCGTTCTATCTATCTATCGTTCTATCTATCGTTCCACCTATCTATCTATCTATATATCGTTCTATCTATCGTTCTATCTATCTGTCGTTCTATATATCGTTCTATCTATCTATCGTTCTATCTATCGTTCTATCTATCTATCGTTCTATATATCGTTCGTAGTGAGGAAATTTTGGTGAGTTGAATGTCCTATTTACTAGGATATCTATCCTGGCCCTCTACAGAGGTAGATACAGACTCCCCTTTACATAACATGTGCATAAATATAACGTGCAGTGTCATAGGTGCTTTTAAATATGCTTTCAGTAACACAAGGTCCGCCATCGTTGACAATTATGCCTTCAAAGCCAGTATATGAAGACGGTGAACTAGTCGTGTTCAGGTGTTCAGTGAATGTTTCTCCAAGGAGACAGTTCTTTTCCTGGAACTGGGACCACCCCTTGGGAAAAGATTTTAGTGGGAACGTGAAAACTGGACAGTTAGTGGATGCCTTTCGCACGTGCAACAGAACAAGCTTTTTGGCCTTGACCTTGAAAGCGGAAGACAATGGGACCATGGTGACCTGTATGACCGGCTCGTCGCAGGAGTTGAAAGCTAGTGTTGTTGTGAATGTTATCGGTGAGTTATTCCTGTATAACGTTGAGGCTACACCCCGCCGGGTGCCAGGTTTGCCCGAAGGAATTTACGTTTGTCATACATGACCACTATGCTGATTGGTCACTCGATAACAGGCCTCTGTCGCAACCCGAGAACATCGGGGTTAAATACAGACAAACCTCCATTCTATTTTCACAAAATTTTCAGTTCCGATGTCTATTTTGGGTGCATCTTTGGTGTATTCAAAATGAAACCTAATCCTTAGGAAAACATCTGCATAACTTGAATGCATTGACGTAATTCCTTTTGTATATTTGCGGTAAGAAATATGACAGCAGTTTGACACTGCCAGACTCTTAAGCACGAGCATCGATCTGCTCAATTGGGAATTTTCGAATTAAGATGTCATAAATGAGTGTCTGAATGCTTTGCTTTGACCAGGAAGTTGGAAGTCTCGATGCTGATTGAAATGTTCTCCTGACGCCTCCTCCTCGAGGAGGAGTGGTATTTCAGTGGATGTTGTTCACACTGATACTGCTCAAATGTTTCTCAATGTTGTCACATGTGGTCTGTTTGTTTCTGAGTGTTGGAAACCTTTGTGTACTTCTAGGTAGACAGGAAACAATCACGCCAGCCTCGCCAACCAGGCCAGCAACAACAGGACTAATGCAGATCCGTAAGTAATTATTATGAACAAAGTTTGCATATGAAACCTTCCGTGTCTTTATGAAATGAACATGTCAGCAAACATTTCGCAAAGTTAAAAATTGGACTTCTTTGCATTATGATCATTTGGTGAAGTACCTCCCAAACTGGGACCATGTCATCACCAGTCATAAAGGGAATAAACACGAATGGGTTCTGTCCGTCCATCGCGCCGCTTTCCTTTCGCAATGTAACTGAAAGATCGTAGAATGTCTCTCGATCAAAGTTTGCAGATATCAGTCTAGCCACTTTCTGGTACCTTCTACCACTTTGGAATTATTTTCCATCAGTGGCGGTGGGGTAGCTTTTTGGTTAATGAGTTCGCTCGTCACGCCGAAGGCCCGGGTTCGATTCCCCACAAAGTTACAATCTGTGAAGCCCTTTTCTGGTGTCCCCCGCCGTGATACTGAAATATGGCTAAAAGCGTCTTAAAACTAAACTCACTCATATCATTTCCCCATGATAAAAAATGGACTTAGTAAGAAGAGTGGATACGTGGTTTCTTTTTTTTTCACAGGGAAATTACACAGATTACAAATATACATTTTCTAATTTTAAAAATCTTTTTTAGGACTTCATGAAAAGAGTATTTGTTTACATGCAACGAGCGGTTATATTTTCTGACTTTGTAATCAACGGTATACCTGCAATCAAGAGTGGGGGCGGTGGGGTAGCCCATTGGTTAAAGCATTGGCTCGTCACGCCGAAGACCCGGGTTCGAATCCCCACATGGGTACAATGTGTGAAGCCCATTTCTTGTGTTCCCCGCCGTGATGTTGCTGGAATATTGCTAAAAGCGGCGTAAAACCAAACTCAGTCAGTCAGTCAGCAATCAAGTGGTCAGCTATCAGCATATTCATCCGTCGATAATTCGCTGTCATCGTTTGTTCAAGGTACAACCTTTGAACTGAAGCTTTAGTTGTGTACTGTGTAGAACACACCATTACCGGGGAATATAAGGTTCCTCTTTGCACGACGTATTGAAGCTGAGCTGAATGGTATGATGCGCGGAAACAGTGTTACAACATTGATCGAGGTTGGACAACGGTTACCAAACAATCAAAACAAAGCACGGAAAACCAACAGTTATCGAGTGGTGCTGGTATTGGCATACAACCGGCGATACGATATATCACGACATTAAAATTTTAGTCACGACGATAGATTGCCAAAGTATTGCGCACTGAAGCTGCGATACGATACGAATCCCGATATAAGGGTGGCGATACGATATGTATCACGATACTAAAATATTTAATTCTAACACCAACTATAAAACACCTTAAGATCAAAACAAATCCATTTTAAAGTATTTCGTCAAATTCCGTCAGCGTTGTTCAATGTTCATTCGGAAACGAGATAATTACGTTTATACACGGACTTGTGAATGTTGCTAACGTGCGAGTGTTATGTCTGACATTGTTCTTGAGGTAAGAATTTCCGAGAAAAGGTTTACTTATGAAAGGGAAAATAAGTAAGCATACATCAAGCATGTTTTTTCATCCTCAAACAAAAGTAAGTCTTTTTCCCTTGACAGATATTGCGATTTGGCAATATTAAAAGTTAAACATCGATGTATCGTGGCTCATTTGAAGTATCGTATCGGGATATACAACAATTTAAAACTTTTTATCGATTCACTGTATCGGCGACCAATGGATCGATGCATCGATGTGTATCGATGAATCGTCACACCACTATGACATTGAGCAGTTTGTCCCTAAAGAAGTGGTTGTCCAGAGAATATATACTGAGTCAAAAAAGAAACTTCACAAAATGTCATTTGAAAAATAGTGAATATTTTTTCTCTGATGATACATCTATGTATCCGAAATGGGATCCCTATCTTTCGACTCAAGAAAAACGTTAGCAAAACCCACTCAAACCAATCCATTCCTCATGCAAATGACGTTAGTGCCAAATCAGGTTTTGCACGTGCAATCGATCACGGGATCTTCGCATCGAAGTTTTCTTCATATGCACGTGTTTACATTGGCCTAACGGTACTTGAAATGCCACGATTGTCAAATGTGCAACGTGAACGTGCCGTTGGCATGTTGCAAGCGGGAAGATCAGTTATTGACGTCGCAAGAGCAATGGGATGCAGCCGTCGTACCGTGTAAGACTTTCGAGGTCGTCTACAACAAACTGGCACCACTTCTGATCGCCCAAGGTCGGGTCGTCCACGTGTGACGTCACGAGCAGAAGACCGTCAAATCGTCCTACGTCACCTACGTGACAGATTTCTGCCGGCTACACGAACCAGGGCTGATATGTTTAGAGGTCGACTGTCCTCACAGACCATTCGAAATCGGTTGCAGGCTGCCAATCTCCATTCTCGACGTCCATATCGTGGGCCAATATTGACGCCCTTTCATCAACGTCAACGTCTGCTGTGGGCCCAACGTCACCTCCGATGGACCTAGAGAGACTGGAATCGAGTCGACTTTAGCGATGAATCCAGGTTTACCCTCAGATTTGCGGACGGCAGGCATAGAGTCTGGAGACGACGTCGTGAACGGTATGCCCAATGTTGTGTACAGGAAGTCGACAGATTCGTGGGCGGAAGTTGCATGGTGTGGGGTGCTTTCTGTGGGAACAACCGTCCCCGACTTCTGGTCATCCGTGGAAACCTCACAGCTGCTGCCTACCTCGACCAGGTGCTCACCCCTGAACTCGTTCCTTTCATGGCGGCTCATGGCCCAGGTCTACAGTTCCTGCATGATAATGCTCGGCCGCATACCGCGATGTTGACACGAAATTTCCTTCAAAACGCTGGAATCAACGTCATGGATTGGCAATCGAGGTCCCCTGACCTTAATCCAATAGAGCACGTTTGGGATGCACTTGGGAGAAGGCTTCGTTGTCTTAGGAACCAACCCTCAGAATTTGCAGGAACTTGGCGCTGCCTTGCAAGAGCAATGGCGCAGAATCCCCAACCACGTGTTCACAAGCATCAGGCAGTCGATGAGGAGATGGTGTTCGGCAGTGATGAATGCGCGGGGCGGCCATACACTATATTGAACTGAGAAATTTTGCATTTTTATTCTTGTGACTTGACATTCTGTATACCCATGTTTTGGAACGGCGGTGTAGCCTAATGGAACTGATTATGGCACTGTCAGTGTATCGAGTACATCACATACATCTCAGCAATGAAATAATAAAAATTTAACCATCTTACCATCTCTTGTTCTTTTATAGTGCCCTGAAGAAAGAATGTGAAGTTTCTTTTTTGACAGTATATGTGTCTATCGTGTGTTGATTGGCAAAGATAGAATCAACCTCTATGACTCTCAGTTCCAGATGCTGGTGCCAGCGGTATCCCTGGTTACCTTCTGGCAGTGGTAGCCGTCGCCACCCTCATCCTCACCCTCATCATCTACAGCGTCTTACTACGGATGGGAGGTGAGTACTGTCAGGGTCACAGCTGTTTCAATTACTCTTCCTTGCTACCGTACAGGCTTTGTGCACACTGCGTTTCTACATTACTCCTTGGCGATGTGGCAGCACAATGGTTAAAGCGTTTGCTCGTCACACTGAAGTCCCGGGTCCGATTGCCCACATTGTTACTATGTGTGAAGTTAATTGCTGGTGTCCTCCGCCGTGATATGGCTGGAATATTACTAAATGCGGCGTGAAACCTCACTCACTCACTCACTCTACATTACTCGGTGTTAAGTGTTGAACGTTTAAATAATTTACGGAAGGCTATGAGCCCAACTCTGTGCACGGTACTTGCGCTCACTCTACTGCCTGTAAATCATATTATTTGAAGAAGTGACGATGCGAGTCTACGGTATGATCAGTAGTGCCGGTTCTGCGTTTGTTCAGAAATATGTTTGGGTCTTTGACAAGGAGTGTTTTCAGATCGAAGTCTCATTCCCGTTATAGCGTTAAGCTTCCTTACAAAGTTTTGTTCACGGTCATTTCTATAAACAGTTGTTTCAAAACAGAGATGCTTGTGTATATTCAGTAACTCATTGGACCCATCACCTCTTACAATATCCACCCGTGAAGATCCGGGTCAGAATTGATCTTCAGCAACCCATGCTTATCGTAAGAGGCGACTAACGGGATCGGGTGGTCAGGCTCGCCGACTTGGTTGACACATGTCATCGTATCCCAGTTGCCTAGATCTATGCTCATGCTGTTGATCACTGGATTGTCTGGTCCAGACTTGATTATTTACAGACCGCCTCGATATAGCTGGAATACTGCTTAGCGTGGCGTTGAACATCAAACCAACCAGCCAACCAACTCAACAAATTAAACTTAGTTTAGCATTTGTTTAGTTTAGGGTTTTGTCGATTGGTGAACCTAACAGCCCGCCACTGACATCTGCGAACAAACCTATATATACATGCATATAGACCTACCTACCAACACCCTCAGCACACGTACGTACATACATACTTCCAGTTCGTCAATGGAATATTTCTACATTCACATTTGTTTAAACACAATAACACCCATGCGAAGTTCAACAAGTAATAGCAGAATATTATTTTGTATATTTCAGGAACAAAATTCAAGTTTCCATTCACAGACTGCTTCGTTGTTAAAAAAGGTCATCTATACGAGATCCCGGACAGAGGTGAGTGACGTCACACAAGGAGAAGCCACTACAGACCAGAATTCATTGTTATCGTACTGTCGATCATCGATGACAGGCTTCGTATTTATACACTGCGTGATATAGCTGACATATTGCTAAAAGCGGCGTAAATCCAACTTCACTAAATGATTTAGTCTTCTTCATACTGTATTTGGTATATATATATATATTCAATATCTCGCCACGTTAAATGGCTGAAGTATTGCCCCTATGACGCAACTTCTAACTCACTCACCGTATACGTAACCTACCGACGTCATTTAGCTGGATTGTTCCTGACGGACGTGTCAAACAACCACTCGCTGACAGTATCAGTCACTGGATTGTCTGGTGCAGACTCACTGATCTGCAATTTCTTGTAACCAGAACATCGCCCAATAGTGTTCTTTGGTTTTCCATCCACAGGTTGACACGCCTTGAGTTAGTCAGAGGTACAGATAAGCTGCGTATCTGCGTGAATTACGCAAATATTTATGTGAAAACTCAATTCCTATTAAGTCTGTTGCGTACAAGTACGCTTGAATTTTGGTAAATACTCAATAAATGTGATCTTACATGCGCACACAAAAATGTCAAATGTTAGTATGACTAACATTTAAACTTTATTATATTTAAAAAATTAATGGAAAATGGCAAAATACCCAATTGAGTTTGAGTAAGGTGAGTACAATTTATTTGGTTACTCAAAAGAAAAGTAGGATACCCAATTGAGATCAACACAAGCGAGTACATAACTCAATGACCCAAAAGGTTAGCTGTAGCTCTGCAGTTAGTGAGTGAATAATGCTTAACGAGCATTCATAATGCAACTGTTCGAGGAGTTTAGTTCTATGTTAACAAACACAATGTGTTAACAAATACAATGGAACAAACACAATGTGTTAACAAATACAATGGAACAAACACAATGTGTTAACAAATACAGTTGAACAAACACAATGGAACAAACACAATGTGTTAACAAACACAAATGAATTTATCAGAATATCGCATGTAAGGACCCGCCTCGACATAACCGAAGTACTGTTTAAAGTGTCATTCACTCACTCACCAATGTTCTTGTCAAGATAATCTACAGCCATAACACATTTTCTTTCCAGAATCTGATGGTGATCCTGACAGCAGCTATTGTGTCATACAAAACACTGGCCCCATCTACATTAACTCCCCCCGCAGGGTCGTCTCCAACGCACCGTGACTCACACTCGCCGTGTGGGGCGGTGCAGTAGCCCGATGGAAGTGTTCGCTCGTCACGCTGAAGACCCGGGTTCGATTCCCCACATGGTACAGTGTGTGAGGCCCATTTCTGGTGTCCCCCGACGTGATATTGCTGGAATATTGCTAAAAGCGGAGTACCATCATACTCACTCACTCACCCTCTCGTCGTGGATTCTCAAAGACACTGCTATTCCAAACAGATGTTCACGGAAAGGCCCTGGTATTTGATTTAATTGGGATTTCAAGATTAGGTACATTTGGTCTTTAGTTAGTAGACAATATAGCTGATCTGGTCAGTCAGGTCGATGTTCATGCAATATTCTGTAATACATCTACATGTGAAAACCATTGCTGTATGCGCTGACCATTCCAATTCTTGTATGACGCAACTTGCTGAGGAGGGATGACCTAGTTGTAATTCATCCTCTTAAGTTCGAATTCATGATTAACACCGATTATGATCCTTGGTATTAAAAGGCTGCGAGGTAGGTTAATGGTTTGCCGGCGTACCCCGACTCCGGGTCCTTGCTCATAATATTAATCACTGGCTTGTTTGGTCCAGCCTCTGTTATTGACATTCAGCTGTGGTACGGCTGACCAACTGCTGACTGCGGCATCTACCAGCATCTGCTCTCTTCCACCCGCACCATCATCAAAACTGAGAAGTGCCCTGTGTATATAAATACCTTACCACTGTTTGAGTTTGTTTGTTCTTATTCGACATAACCGAGTTTAACATTAACGCAGCATGTACGTCAGGGCTTGCAGTAAAATGTCGAATATCGAGCTGAAATGGTTACTTTAAGAAGGAAGCGTCAATACTTAGAAGACATAATGAAAATATAAGTCCAATCTTGGCGGAAGTTAAACCTGGGTTATTTCTCACGTGAGTCATGTTTGATGGATATTCATTCAGCTTGGTCCCGATGTAGTGAGATTGTTTTCATTGGACAGTCTGTTTCATATATGCACACATTTCTTTACAAACTGATCTTTAGAAACGTTGTATTTATTTCATTTATGGAAAATAAACACAACGCGCCGCTATTGGTCTGTGACGTCAGTAAGCCCTCCATCGTGACGAAATGAGGAAGGCTGTTGTGTTTGTTGTGCAATCTACCTCACAGAAACCATGCTGTTATCTGTTGTCCTTATTTGGGCGGTACACAAATATATGTTGCCGCGTTTGCCTTATTTCACACTGACGAACTGTGCACGACGCCCAAAGGTAAATACACAGAAATTATATTTCTCTTTCAAACTGTACACCCTTACAGCTTATGAAATTATGCCGATATTTACAACTGCAAAACATTAACAATATCATGTACCTGAAAGTAGGGACAGTGACTTGTGGTTAAATATATCGTCATGAATTGAGCGACGCTTGGGTAGTAGGAAATATTCAAGGATAACTTTGTTCCTTGTATGTGCGCATATTGAAACGCAACAGCTGCTGTACTCAGTAATGTGTATAGTGTATAGGGCGGTGGGGTAGCCTAGTGGTCACGCCGAAGACCCGGGTTCGAATCCCCACATGGGTACGATGTGTGAAGCCCATTTCTGGTGTCCCCAGCCGTGATGTTGCTGGAATATTGTTTAAAGCGAAGTAAAACCAAACTCAGTCAGTAAAGTGTATACATCCCTCAATCTTTGAATAGTGAAGGCAGTTCTCTTCTGTCACTGACAGGCTAGGGAATACATGATTCGTGTCGTGTTTGTAATAGTAAGGGAAGCAACTCTTGCTTGAACTTGGGTCTTGATTCAGTAGTCCGGACTATTCGCAATCCGGACGAATTTGCTGAGAAACGCAACCGTCCGGATTAATGAGGCTTCACTGTATATCGATGAGCGATGTTTTGGTAGTTGGTTATATTCAATAATAACCCGCTCCCTGTATGTGCAAACATTGGACTACAATGGCGACTGATTTCAGTCATGTTTGCATATAACGGCATTGATGAATAACGAAGGAAGGGAGCCTGGGGCTGTTTGTCCGCTCTAAGTTATTCTACCTCTTAAAGGCTGCAGGATGTGTCCCATCGGAAGCGTCACCGTTGTGGACCGCGCAGAGCAGTGTTAATGGAGCTCCAGTGTGTCTTGCAATTGGTTCTGTAATTTGGTCAGTAAATGATCTACTCTGGATCAGACAACCACGTGATTGACAACATGAGCATCTGCACAATCGGTATACGATGACATGCATCAACTTGGTTATCGAGCCTGACCACACGATCGCGTCAGTTGACATTTACGACAAGGATGGGTTGCTGAAGACAAATTCTACCCCGGATCTTCACGGGACTACATATATTAAGGTATGCGGGTGAGTGAATGGGCCAGTGCAGTGCTTTCAAAATACACGTCAACTGGTTTCCACACATTCATCTCATGCTCTGAATCAAAGCCAAGTCTCAAGCCTGACCATGGAAGGTTTTACAGCAAAGCTTCCGTCTCGACAGTGTAACAAAAACAGAATGAAAAGAATATGGGTTAAAATAACTTTATCAAATCCACAATAGCTTTACATAGAATTCACACAAATGCAGGTATATCATCCAACATCATGGTATTTTATGGTCAATATAAATCATGTGGTACTTTTGCTTATGATGATGACGTATTTCACTGTTAAGTGAAAGTGAACAATAACATATAGAAATACTGTGAGGTTTTAAGATTACACACACTACTTCCAAACCCCTATTCAAGGATGACGTCCGTATTTGGTGGTGGTGATGGACTAGAGGTCGTCAGTGATGTCCATGTGACAACGTTGACATTCACCACGTCGGCGACATCCATGAGCACGTGTACATCACTGACAGACAGAGGGTGATTATAATCAGCACGTGTCCAACCCTGGGACAGAGAATCCTGGCAGATACAAGGCCAGCGTCACTACTAGTGGGACGTCTCCTTCGACTGGGCTGCAGTGCTTAAATCCTATCAAAGGAAAAAGGAAATGACTATTTTTAAGGACAAGCAGCAGAGTCTAAACAATTATGTTCTTAAATACATTTGTCAAATAATTAAGGTTATCATATAAAAGTACTTTCTCCATATGGTGATCTGACCTAATCGACTCTCGTGGACACAGGTATACAATACATGAACATGTTGAAGCTTCTCCACATGACAACACTTCTAAACATCAGGACAATGGCAATAGGACTCCAACCAATCAGAACCTCACCTGTACATCAAGGTTCCGTTTGTTTGTCCCAAGCAGTCTCCATGTTCTTGGGGTTACACTGACTGAACTTGAGTGGGTTTGTTTGGTCAACACCTCCACTTTGTTTCTGTGTGTAGAGGAAGACATTGGAGACAGGACAATTATGGGCAAGCTTTATTTACCCACATCTTGTTGGTATGATCACAGTCAGGGTACACACTACTGTCCTCTTCCTGCAGGCAGTTTGTCAGCGCTAGTATTATTGTCTGCAAGATGGGGAAACTATACTTATAATTATATCACTCGTCATTGTTTTAAGTCTGTTGATGGCAAACAGCGCTGATGAACATCTGTTTTTATCTATATTCTAAATCTTTGATTAATGTTCAGTGGCATGTCATGAATGCATAAATATACACACACACATGCACACATACATACATACATGCATACACACATGCATATACATGCAAACACTCACACACAAACATACTGAACAACCGATAAAATACACTTTTCTAAAGCAACTTCACGCATAGTAGGCAGCAAGGTGTTCGCAGTAGTGTACGCCAGCAAGGTGTTTTCTCTGTGTACGCCAGCAAGGAGCTCGCAGTAGTGCACGCCAGCAAGGTGTTTTCAGTACTGTACGCCAGCAAGGTGTTCGCAGTAGTGCACGCCAGCAAGGTGTTTTCAGTGTGTACGCCAGCAAGGTGCTCGCAGTAGTGTACGCCAGCAAGGTGTTCAGCAGTCAGTAGTGTACGCCAGCAAGGTGTTCGCAGGTGTCAGTGCACGCCAGCAAGGTGTTTTCAGCAAGGGTTTTCTCAGTAGTGTACGCCAGCAAGGTGCTCGCAGTAGTGCACGCCAGCAAGGTGTTTCTCAGTAGTGTACGCCAGCAAGGTTTTCTCAGTAGTGTAGGCCTGTACGCCAGCAGTTCTACTATTGTATGTATTGAAGTATAATATATCACGCCCCAGACGCTAGCCAGTCTCTATTTTCTCCAAAAGCAACATCATTCCATTCTCAGTAGTGTACGCCAGCAAGGTTTTCTCATGTCCAGCACTACCGGTAACACAGCCTCTCCCTCAGTTTGCACAAAATATGAGTGTTTGTATTGTTTGTTGTCGAACAACCGGTAAAACACTCTTTTCTAAAGCAACTTCAAGCATATGAATTACGAAATACAGTTCACTCTACCCACATGTATGGTCAGAGATCATTTACTTACAATGCCACCACTCTCTGGAATAAACTCCCAGATCATCTTCAAGGAATCTCTACTCTCCAAATGTTCAAAGACAGTCTCAAAACATTTCTCTTCACTCAGTTCTATAGACGCTAATCATTTCTAGTAATCTCTTAACCTGGTGATGTCAGAATCTCTCATGTAGCGCTATGAGCATACACTTGTGTCTGGATTTGACGCATTATAAACGTACTTATCATTATTTATTATTAAGTCCGATCCAGATCAGTACGACCACAGGAAGCTGACGAGTCACGCGACATTCCACGGATGCATTATGGGACTGTGGACATAGGTTTAGTTACCGAACTGTGGTGTGTCGCTGATGAATCGTGGTGCTGAGACATTTCTTTTCTGTCGTAAATGTTAAACGTAATGGTTCCACCAGTGATGTTAGCCAACTAATAGTAGATTACTGTTGCTGAGAGTTGAATAGTACTATCACTATCTTCATTGCTACAATCACTGCTCTTGTCTAGTGTTACCTTTGCCTTGTACAGCCACTCAGTTGTGTACCGTGATAGTGATACACTCGTATTGATTCATATTGATTACGTTAACTTAGCTGATTTTGGAATACAGTTGTTCAACATTAAGACAAACTTTATCTTCTTTAAATGTTGTTATTGGGTAAATATCACAGCTGACACACACATCCAAACAAACACTGGATTCCAATTGTCTGGAGACACTTTACTGATGATGGAACTGATTTTGTGTTATCTATCATTTCTCTCATCATCTTTACTTCTTCCGTCTCAAGGGCTGTGTAACCTTTGAAACAGTTTAGGTAACCGGGCCGATCTTTCATCATCGTACATCCATGAAGTCGATAGTTGCTCAAGGTCCAATATTGCTTCAGATGGGTTGTCACATTAGTGTACTTCAGCAAGGTGTTGTCGGTAGTGTACGTCACCAAGGTGTTCTCGGTAGTGTACGTCACCAAGGTTTTGTCGGTAGTGTACGTCACCAGGGTGTTGTCGGTTGTGTACGTCACCAAGGTGTTCTCGGTTGTGTACGTCACCAAGATGTTGTCGGTAGTGTACGTCACCAAGGTGTTCTCGGTAGTGTACGTCACCAAGGTGTTCTCGGTAGTGTACGTCACCAAGGTGTTGTCGGCTGTGTACGTCACTAAGGTGTTCTCGGTAGTGTACGTCACCAAGGTGTTCTCGGTAGTGTACGTCACCAAGGTGTTCTCGGTTGTGTACGTCACCAAGGTGTTCTCGGCGAGTGTACGTCACCAAGGTGTTCTCGGTAGTGTACGTCACCAAGGTGTTCTCGGTAGTGTACGTCACCAAGGTGTTCTCGGTAGTGTACGTCACCAAGGTGTTGTCGGTAGTGTACGTCAGCAAGGTGTTGTCGGTAGTGTACGTCACCAAGGTGTTGTCGGTAGTGTACGTCACCAAGGTGTTCTCGGTAGTGTACGTCACCAAGGTGTTCTCGGTAGTGTACGTCACCAAGGTGTTCTCGGTAGTGTACGTCGCCAAGGTGTTCTCGGTAGTGTACGTCACCAAGGGTTGACACAGTAGAGTACGTCAGCAGGTAGTTTAAGATAGCGTGTGTTTGACAGTGGTCAGCATAGTTTCACACTTGTTTCACATTGGTGTTAGGCAGTATGGGTTTCACAGTGGTATAAGAGAACACGGGTTACAGAAGTTACAGAACGTGTTACACTGTAGAGTAAGTCAGGCAGCCGGGTTTTACGGTAGTGTAAGGCATTTTCACATTTAGATAAGGCAGCACGGGTTCCATAGCTATGTAAAACAGTTTTTACTGTGATCTTAGAGAGATATTCGTCAAGCAAATTATTTTCCTTTCAGCAAATATATCCACCCTTTCTGTCAATAAAACTATGAAAGACACCAAGGATAATTCAGATAGTATACTTCCTTGTTGCATCCAACTTCAACATTACATCAACACGCGTGATCTGTGAAGGTTGTCTTCCTCCAAACAGCCATGTGTGGATCGCTACAACGTACCGCTCTTCTCCTGTTGGCACTTGATACAACTGTTGTAGCAGGTAGGTCTTCTATTCCATTGTAACGAGATGTTTAGTAACAGTTCAAAGTTGCACTGAAGGCTATCAGCCAACAGAGATCGAGACAATTCAGGAGTGTAGGTATTAACAGAGGTATCAGCAGACAGCAGTAAATACTGCCTTGTTGGAATAAACATTGCTAAAACATCCTCAGTGGATACATAAAGTTACAAAACTATAAACGTGCCTACATTTAATGCTGCATTATTGCAATGAGCGTGCGTAGTTATATTCCAGTTTAAAGTGTTCTGGTGTTCACAGACCAGTGTATAGCTAGGCGTTATGGTGTGACGTAGATGCGTTCATTACATTGAGAGAGACGTTCTTCATCCTGCAGCTGGGGCACAGACCGCCTTCATCCTGACTGCATCCCCTACATCAGGCAAAGACGGGGACGTGGTCACACTGTCGTGCAGCCACCGAGATAGGGCAGCACTGGGGTTTGTGGCCTGGAGTAGGAATAACGTGCACCTGTTTAGCACAAACATTAACATTTCCAGCATCATCGACGTTGATAGAAATGGTGAATATTTCCACGATATAACAGGGCGGTTTAACGTGAGTCTGTTTTTGGCAATACATCAACTCAATCTGAAAATAAATTCACCTCTTGACGACGGATCTATTTGGGGATGTTCAGGGTATAATCGGATTCCTTCGGGCAACATGTTGAAGTTTGTCGTCAACGATGCTACAGGCGGTAAGTAACAATGTGTATTAAATGTATGATGTGATGTTCATGTTACCATACTTTGCAATAACCCAACATTTTCACACAAGGACGAGTTTGTGGTTAATGTAAGGTCGACGTGCTGTATAACATTGACAAGATGGGTTTCATGAGATCATTGATGTGTAATTATCATATTGCTGATGTCATTCCTCAGACGGGGAATATATCATCCTTCTAAACATGTACCGTTGTGATGAGTCATTCCGCAGAGTCCAGGCAACGCTCGTATCTCGGTACAACAGGAACACATGCATCTCACATAATACTATACTAAAGTCATGGTCGTGTTTCCAGTTGTTTCCATACAGAAAGACAGCGTCTCCACTATATCCTCGATCCTACCTACACAACGACCTACAACAACAGCAGTAACAGCATCATCATCATCAACAACCGCCACAGCAGCAGGGGTGACCATCAACGGTAATATCTATGATTAACATTTAGCCTACCTGTCATTAAGATATCCCTTTCTGATTGGTTATGGAATGGGCAATTGCTCTTCACGTACCTCACTGACATTGAAGATACTGATACCCGGTGTTTGACTGAAAATTGATAGCTTCTTATCGATGACCAACGCAACTACCGCGTATCGGATGGGCAACATATGACACCATCTACATCATATATTATTTACGTAAAGAGCGTGCTGAAATGGGTGGAAGCTTCAAATGGGTGGATGCTTCATGGTTAAACCTGGCCATTATCCGGGTTCGAATCCCCACATGGGCACAATGTGTGCAGCCCATTTCTCAACTACCTTGTACTACCCATTTTCAGTCTAATTTATTTCTCGTGTATCGTAGTTAGTGAACACAGTCAGTGACGTAAAACAGCATCCAGATAGCAGGTCACACGTGATCATGTATTTGCGTCTCTTCCACGTTGATGTAGATGCTGGGACCAACACAAATGGAGTGGGAACACATCCTTCTTCAGACGCAGTAGTGACAGCGACGACACCTCCAGCTACAACGTCTCTGGGTAAACATCGTAAGTACACGGTATTATTATGGTTGCAACACCAATTCGTCTTCTCCTTTTTATGATATTTAGTTTTATTAATGACAAACATTTGTGATTTTCTCATTTGCACATATACCAGATGATGTAAATAGGGAACGGTTGAACATAATACACGAAGTCAGGCACAATCATTTTACATTCATTCACGAATATTGCGAATGTTTACTCAACAACGATGTCAAAATCATATGAATCATCTGTGTGGTGTAGGAAACACTGATGTAGAATTGTTATCCCAATTTCAAAATGCAGTGAAACAACAAACTAAGAAAATCATGGAGAATGGAGTAAACCATAGCTCGAGACAGCGGCCGTTCAACTTTACAGTGTTCGACGGGAGATTTATATTTCCATAGCAACACTTCAGTGTTAATATTGATTCTACAGATACTTAAATGTGACATCGTGTTTCATCGCCCTAGCGGAAAGAGTTTGAGGTAATGAGGATGAAGTAATACAGTATCTTATCAGAAGTACCACACTTTGATATTATTGCTGTTTCAGATACTCCTGGTCGACCTACAGGCAGGACGAAGACATCCCTGTCCCAATCAGTCACAACAACTGGTATATACGTCTCTTTAACCCATTAGGTAAGCAATGTTGTCACTCGTAATGTCAACAACAACAACAACAGCAGCAGAGGTGACCATAAATGGTAATATTTATGAATAACTTTGAACTTACGTGTCATTTGGAAATCCTTACCCTGTGTTTGAATGAATATGCCTAACATTTTAATTTATAATCATCATGGGAAACCATACACAACATCTGCCGTATCTGATGAGCAAGATAAGTGTGAATTTATGTTCCTGTTTTCAGTTGTTTCTACTGACACCACGGTATCGTTGATCCATTCCACAGTGCGAACTGCTACAACAGAGACCGAGACCAACACAGGTAATATTTCTGATTAACCTTTACCCTACCTTTACTTCAGTTACTCTGATTGATTATTGAAGGAGCACTTCTTTCCTGTATACTTTCTGAGGTACTGACATAATGTGTTGGTTTGAAAATGCCAAACCTTGTACCGATACAAATACAAAACTATGACTGTATTGTGTCGACAATGTCCACAAGCTCAAATGGTGTCACCTTGTGTGGGAGTGTACGCACCCAGTAGGTCTTCAATGAAATATTATGAACCCATTTTAGGGGTTAAGATAATAAAACCTATTCGAGGAACACTTTGTAATGGATGGAGATCTACTGCAGTGGATGCGGTATCAAGCAACTTGCAACAAAGAAGTTGTCTATCCATACAAGAGTGTTCCTCTTCATCATACCAGCTTCTAAATGCCACGTAAGGAAGTTAAAACCTATTCGGTTTGGGATCACCTAGAAATGTCATTTCTTGCTACTTGTGAACTATACTAAACTCAATAACAAACTTCACATGTGTTACTTTATGTCCTAAAGATACTAACATGGAACAAAGCTTGATGCTAATGGACATATCTTGTGTATGTACGTAATGAGCGTGTAGTACAACAGGATTAGGCATGAAGGTGCTCCCACCACAGTGACCACGATGGAGTTACATTTTGATTTCCCAGGGACTTAAGCCATCTGTATTGAAGCTTGTATTGCCTAACACCGCATTAGGCAACCTGCGTCGTTGCTGTACCAGCATGGCGCCCAGCTCTTGCACACTCTCGAGTTTACCTCTCAAGGCACGAAGACTTCTTCCAAGAACGTCCCATACGTGATTGAGTTCAGGTGGTCTCAATGGCCACTCCATGACGTCAATACCCGCATTTTGCAGGTGCTTTCGTGTCAAAATAGCTTCGTGTGGTGTCGCATTGTCATGTTGGAATTGAAGGCCTGGACCATGAGCAGCCATGGACGGCACCTGCTCCGGCACAAGAACCAGGACCCCGTTTCACAAGCGATCGTGGCGTTACGACAGTCTTAGACCGCCTCCGTGGTGTAGTGGTTAGAGCGTCCGCCCGGAGAGCGGAAGGTCGCGGGTTCGATCCCCGACCGCGTCATACCAAAAGACGTTAAAATATGGTACTTGTTGGTCTCTGCCTGGCGCTCGGCATTAATGGGTACAACAAGGTCGGCTCGGAGTCAGTATAATGTGTCTGAGTGGGGTATTCATGCTTCACTGCGGTATGGTATCTCAGTGGGCTAGCACTTTAAAACCAGCTAAAGTCTGGGCTAGTACAAACAGTCGCACATACACATACACACGCATGCACGTCTTCATATGAGCGAAATATTCTCAAGCACGACGTAAAGCCAAATTTCACCTCACCTCACCTACGACAGTCTTAAGTCTATGTTAAAGAATGGGAGTTACGATCACCTCACCTACGACAGTCTTAAGTCTATGTTAAAGTATGGGAGTTACGATCACCTCACCTACGACAGTCTTAAGTCTGTGTTAAAGTATGGGAGTTACGATCACCTCACCAACGACAGTCTTAAGTCTGTGTTAAAGTATGGGAGTTACGATCAGCTTAGCGCTACGACTGTCGTAAGTCTATGTTAAAGTATGGGAGTTACGATCACCTTAGCGCTACGATCGCTTTATGAAAAGGGGTCCTGGTCACGTTATCCCGCTGCACGAATTACAAGACAGACAGCTCCCCAGACCATCTGCGCGTGACGGTGCGCCACGATCGCACACGTCTGCAACTTGCAGAGTAAAACGTGATTCGTCGCTATACACAACCCTATTCCATTCTCTCTGGTTCCAGCACAGGTACAATTGTGCCAAGCGTCATTACAGATTACCTGTGGCAGAATCGGCCCACCATAAGGACATCGGGCATACAGATGGGCAGCTCGCAAGCAGCTTCGTATTGTCTGGACAGTTACGCGACCCCTTGACAATGCGTTACTGGTTGACATTGCGGACGTAAAACGGTTGCGCAAATTGTCCGTCTACTGCATCTTATTGCACGTGCAGCAGCCGTAGTAGACTGGCCAGCCTGGATCATGCCAATTGCACGTTCACGTTCAACATGTGTAAGGCGTTGCATGAGAACCGTTTATCTCTGTTTAACTGTTCATTATGACCACGTGACTACGCAGGGTCGCGTTGTTCACCACAGTTTAAATGGGCCGATGCGTCAGGTCAGACCTGGCTAGTATGGGATTTGCCCATATTAAATACCCTGTACCAGCGTTCAAAATAATCGGCGACCCGAAGCCCCGGCGCCGGTTGTTATTGTGTCGGGCCGGCAGTTTCAAATACTTGCTGGCCCTTGTGGCCTTCAGTAAATTATCTGTCAATTGTTTTCAACTTTATTCTTTCCCATAATTGTTTTCTTTATTAACGTTCGGGAACAATCCATGTTTCAATTCCTGGTATTTCAGCGCTTTGCGCCTAGGAATGTCAACACCAGTCTTTAACAAATAAAAACTTGTCTCAGGGCCAAAGGCTTCGCTAATTGATTTTGTCGAAACAGTGTAGACTATTTTGTGTTTATTGGTTTGATTTAACAAATTCGACCTGCAGATTTCATTCCGCGCCTGTAGATTTTAAAGTCTGCAGGCGGCAGCAGGTCCTGATGGCCAACAGCCAAATGAAAGTTGTGCAAACACTGCCCTGTACTACTCATTTTCAATATAATTCCTTTCTGGCAAATGTGAGGTTTCCTTATTGTTCAGTACCTTCTCAGCATCTAAATCAATTAGTTTGTGTTCACTACGATACACGAACAGTCAGTATCGTTAAACTACACTCACACCGTATGTCACATATCCCCAACGTTGATGTAGATGACGGGACCGACACACCTACTAAGGGATCTTTGCCTTCTACTGACACAGCAGCGACAGTGACGATCCCGTTAGCCGCCTCTACGACAAGCATAAGTGAGAGCGAGTGAGTGAGTGAGTGAGTGAGTAAGTTTAGTTTTACGTCGCTTTTAGCAATATACCAGCAATATCACAGCAGGAGACACCACAAATGGGTTTCACACATTGGGTACAGTACCCATGTGGGGAATCGAACCTGGGTCTTGGACGAGCAAACGTTTTAACCACAAGGCTACCCCATCACCCCCTGAAACTTCTAAATGCTGGAATGCAGTACAACTAACTACAACTATGGTCAGTTTGATGAAAGACACCAGTAAAATGCACCTGCGATATGCGATGACTCCAGTTCATCCTGTCAAGTCCAGCGACTGCCAGGACAATTGCATCATACATGTTGTTGTCGTCCAGTTTGTGCAAGCGGGTGTTCAGATTCCCTCTCTGATGCAGGTAAGGAAGATCACCACAGGTGTAATACAGAACAGCAGTCACAGAATTCAAGTTGGTGGATAACACATTCTGTATTTCGTGAGTGTGACGTTTTGATACAAATTCTTGCTTGACAGTGGTACAAGAATCTGTATCAAAATGTTGCACTCACGAAATAAAGAAGTTGTTATCCATAATGTTCATATCGAACATCCTTTAAGTCTCGGTCTTTCCAAAATTAATTTGAAATTGAATTTGAACCGAAGTTCTTGAATTAAGAAATAGGTCCAGTATTTCATGTAATTGTCCCTGTCACACTGACATATTAGGCCACAATGCCAGCATTAAACAGAACAGACACCAATAATCAACTAGATGCCAGCGTCTGACAGATTTTCACTTTTAGCTTGATAACAGTGTAAGAATCTACACTGAGGGTAACATATGTCATGTTTTGAGATTTCATTCCAAAAACCACTTCCGTGCAAAGATGAAGTAAAAAATGAAACATACAACAATAATTTACTGTTAGCTTGATAACGAAGGAAGAAATTACATCGAAACGTGGCTGTGTGCAATAATTCAGAAGTAGTCCATAAAGTGACCACCCCTTGGGAAAAGATTTTAGTGAGACCGTGAAAACTGGACAGTTAGTGGATGCCTTTCGCACGTGCAACAGAACAAGCCTTTTGGCCTTGACCTTGAAAGCGGAAGACAATGGGACCACGGTCACCTGTATGACCGGCCCTTCGCAAGAGTTCAAAGCTCAACAATGTAAAACTTTTTATCGATTCACTGTATCGGCGACCCATGGATCGATGCATCGATGTGTATCGATGAATCGTCACACCACTATGACATTGAGCAGTTTGTCCCTAAAGAAGTGGTTGTCCAGAGAATATCTGTGGCTATCATGTGTGTTGATAGGCAAAGATGGAATCAACCTCTGTGACTCTCAGTTTCAGATGCTGGTGCCAGCTGTATCCCTGGTTACCTCCTGGCAGTGGTAGCCGTCGCCACCCTCCTCCTCACCCTCATCATCTACAGCGTCTTACTACGGGTGGGAGGTGAGTACTGTCAGGGTCACAGCAATATGTTCCTATTTGCTACCGTCTGTATTTCAATTACTCTTCCTTGGTACCGTACAGGTTTTGTGCACACTGCGTTTCTACATTACACCTTGGCGATGTGGTAGCCCAATGGTTAAAGCGTTTGCTCGTCACACTGAAGTCCTGGGTTCGATTGCCCACATTGGTACTATGTGTGAAGTTAATTTCTGGTGTCCCCCGCCGTGATATGGCTGGAATATTGCTAAATGCGGCGTGAAACACTCACTCACTCACTCTACATTACTCGGTGTTGAGTGTTGAACGTTTAAATAATTTAACTCTGTGCACGATACTTGCGCTAACTCTACTGCCTGTAAATCATATTATTTGAAGAAGTGACGATGCGAGTCTACGGTATGATCAGTAGTGCCGGTTCTGCGTTTGTTCAGAAATATGTTTGAGTCTTTGACAAGGAGTGTTTTCAGATCGGAGTCTCATTCCCATTATAGCGTGAAGCTTCCTTACAAAGTTTTGTTCATCTATAAACAGTTGTTTAAAAAGGTAAATGCTTGTGTGTATTCAGTAACCCCTTGGGCCCATAACCTCTTAAAATCTCCACCCATGAAGATCCGGGTCAGAACTGATCTTCAGCAACCCATGCTTATCGTAAGAGGCGACTAACGGGATCGGGTGGTCAGGCTCGCCGACTTGGTTGATACATGTCATCGTATCCCAGTTGCCTAGATCGATGCTGATGGTGTTGATCACTGGATTGTCTGGTCCAGACTCGATTATTTACAGACCGCCTCGATATAGCTGGAATACTGCTTAGCGTGGCGTTGAACATCAATCAACCAGCCAACCAACTCAACAAATTAAACTTAGTTTGGCATTTTACGGGGGTTTTGTCACTTGGTGAATCTAACACCTTCCACTACCACGTAGCAGCTGTCATGCCACTGACATCTGCGAACAACCCTATATATACATGCATATAGATCTACGTACCAACACCGTCAGCACACGTACGTACATACATACTTCCAGTTCGTCAATAGAATATTTCTACATTCACATTTGTTTAAACACAATAACACCCATGCGAAGTTCAACAAGTAATAGCAGAATATTGTTTTGTATATTTCAGGAACAAAATTCAAGTTTCCATTCACAGACTGCTTCGTTGTTAAAAATGATCATCTATACGATATCCCTGACAGAGGTGAGTGACGTCACACAAGGAGAACCCACTACAGTCCAGCATTCATTGTTATCGTACTGTCGATCATCGATGACAGGCTTCGTATTTATACACTGCGTGATATAGCTGACATATTGCTAAAAGCGGCGTAAAACCAACTTCACTAAATGATTTAATCTTCTTCATACTGTATTTGGTATATATATATTCAATATCTCGCCACGTTATGGCTGAAGTATTGCCCCTATGACGTAAATTCTAACTCACTCACCCGAACGTATAAGTAACGTACCGACGTCATTTAGCTGGATTGTTCCTGACGGACGTGTCAAACAACCACGAGCATGACGTGTGGAGGTTTGCTCACGGTATCAATCACTGGATTGTCTGGTGGAGACTCACTGATCTGCAATTTCTCCTTATAACCAGAACATCGCTCAATAGTGTTCTTTGGTTTTCCATCCACAAGTTGACATGCCTTGAGTTAGTGAGTGAATAATGCTTAACGGGCATTCATAATGCAACTGTTCGAGGAGATTAGTTCTATGTTAACAAATACAATGGAACAAACACAATGTGTTAACAAACACAATGGAAACACAATGTGTTAACAAACACAAATGAATTTATCAAAATATCACATTCAAGGACCCGCCTCGACATAACTGAAGCACTGTTTAAAGTTTCATTCACTCACTCACCCATGTTCTTGTAAAGATAATCTACAGCCATAACACATTTTCTTTCCAGAATCTGATGGTGATCCTGACAGCACCTATTGTGTCATACAAAACACTGGCCCCATCTACATTAACTCCCCCGCAGGGTCGTCTCCTGATAAAGCACACAAGACACCGTGACTCGCACTCGCCGTGTGGGGCGGTGGAGTGGCCTGATGGAAGTGTTCGCTCGTCACGCTGAAGACCCGGGTTCGATTCCCCATATGGGTACACTGTGTGAAGCCCATTTCTGGTGTCCCCCGACGTGATATTGCTGGAATATTGCTAAAAGCGGAGTACCATCATACTTACTCACTCACCCTCTCGTCGTGGATTCTCAAAGACACTGCTATTCTAAACAGATGTTCACGGAAAGGCCCTGGTATTTGATTTGATTGGGATTTCAAGATTAGGTACATTTGGTCTTTAGTTAGTAGACAATATAGCTGATCTGGTCAGTCATGTCGATGTTCATGCAATATTCTGTAATACATCTACATGTGAAAACCATTGCTGTATGCGCTGACCATTCCAATTCTTGTATGACGCAACTTGCTGAGGAGGGATGACCTAGTTGTAATTCATCCTCTTAAGTTCGAATTCCTGATTAACACCGATTATGATCCTTGGTATTAAAAGGCTGCGAGGTAGGTTAATGGTTTGCCGGCGTACCCCGACTCCGGGTCCTTGCTCATAATATTAATCACTGGCTTGTTTGGTCCAGACTCTGTTATTGACATTCAGCTGTGGTACGGCTGACCAACTGCTGACCGCGGCATCTACCAGCATCTGCTCTCTTCCACCCGCACCATCAGCAACACTGAGAAGTGTCCTGTGTATATAAATACCTTACTACCGTTTGCGTTTGTTTGTTCTTATTCGACATAACCGAGTTTAACATTAACGCAGCATGTATGTGAGGGCTTGCAGTAACATGTCAGAAAATCGACCTGAAATGATTACTTTAAGAAGGAAGCGTCACTACTAAGAAGACATAATGAAACTATAAGTCCAATCTTGGCGGAAGTTAAACCTGGGTTATTTCTCATGTGAGTCATGCCTGATGGATACTCATTCAGCTTGGTCCCAATGTAGTGAGATTGTTTTCATTGGACAGTCTGTTTTCATATATGCACACATTTCTTTACAAACTGACCTTTAGAAACGTTGTATTTATTTCATTATGGAAAATAAGCACAACGCGCCGCTATTGCTCTGTGACGTCAGTAAGCCCTCCATCGTGACGAAATGAGGAAGGCTGTTGTGTTTGTTGTGTAATCTACCTAACAGAAACAAGGCTGTTATCTGTTGTCCTTATTTGGGCGGTACACAAATATATGTTGCCGCGTTTGCCTTATTTCACACTGACGAACTGTGCACGACGCCCAAAGGTAAATACACAGAAATTATATTTCTCTTTTGGTAGTTGGTTATATTCAATAATAACCCGCTCCCTGTATGTGCAAATATTGGACTACAATGGCGACTGATTTCAGTCATGTTTGCATATAACTGCATTGATGAATAACGAAGGGAGTGAGCCTGCGGCTGTTTGTCCGCTTTAAGTTATTCTACCTCTTAAAGGCTGGAGGATGTATCCCATCGGAAGCGTCACCGTCGTGGACCGCCCACAGCAATGTTAATGGAGCGCTAGTGTGTCTTGCAATTGGTTCTGTAATTTGGTCAGTAAATGATCTACTCTGGATCAGACAACCACGTGATTGACAACATGACCATCTGCACAATCGGTATACGATGACATGCATCAACTTGGTTAGCGAGCCTGACCACACGATCGCGTCAGTTGACATTTACGACAAGGATGGGTTGCTGAAGACAAATTCTACCCCGGATCTTCACGGGACTAAATATATTAAGGTATGCGGGTGAGTGAATGGGCCAGTGCAGTGCTTTCAAACTACACGTCAACTGGTTTCCACACATTCATCTCATGCTCTGAATCAAAGACAAGTCTCCAGCCTGACCATGGAAGGTTTTACAGCAAAGCTTCCGTCTCGACAGTGTAACAAAAACAGAATGAAACGAATATGGGTTAAAATAACTTTATCAAATCAACAATAGCTTAAACTTTACATAGAATTGGTACATTATCCAACATCATGGTACTTTATGGTGAATATAAAGCATGTGGTACTTATGCTTATAATCAAGACGTATTTCGCTGTTAAGTGAAAGTGAACAATAACATATAGAAAAACGTATAGTTTTTTAAGATTACACACACTACTTCCAAACCCCTATTCAAGGATGACGTCCGTATTTGGTGGTGGTGATGGACTAGTAGGTTGTCAGTGATGTCCATGTGACAACGTTGACATTCACCACGTCGGCGACATCCATGATCACGTGTACATCACTGACAGACCGAGGGTGATTTTAATCAGCACGTGTCCAACCCTGGGACAGAGAATCCTGGCACATACAAGGCCAGCGTCACTACTAGTGGGACGTCTCCTTCGACTGGGCTGCAGTGCTTAAATCCTATCAAAGAAAAAAGGAAATGACTATTTTAAGGACAAGCAGCAGAGTCTAAACAATTATGTTCTTAAATACATTTGTCAAATAATTAAGGTTATCATATAAAAGTACTTTCTCCATGTGGTGATCTGACCTAATCGATCCTCTTGGACATAGGTATACAATACACGCAATGTTGAAGCTTCTCCACATTACAGCACTTCTAAACATCAGGACAATAGGACTCCAAGCAGACAGAGCCTCACCTGTACATCAAGGTTCCGTTTGTTTGGCCCAAGCAGTCTCCATGTTCTTGGGGTTACACTGACTGAACTTTATAGGGTTGGTTTGGTCAACACCACCACTTCGTTTCTGTGTAAAGAGAACATTGAGAGAGACATCTGGGGTAAAGCTGGAGTTACAGATATCTTGTTGATAAAATCACTGTCTGTGCACATACTTCCACTGGTGTTATTGCCAGCAGTGTTATTGTCTTCAGTGTTATTGTCAACAGTGTTATTGTCAGCAGTGTTATTGTCAGCAGTGTTATTGTCAGCAGTGTTATTGTCTACAGTGTTATTGTCTACAGTGTTATTGTCTACAGTGTTATTGTCAACAGTGTTATTGTCTACCGTGTAATTACTACCGTGTTAATGTCTACAGATATATTGCCAGCAGTGTTATTATCTACAGTGTTATTGTCTACAGTGTTATTGTCAGCAGTGTCATTGTCAGCAGTGTTATTGTCAGCAGTGTTATTGTCAGCAGTGTTATTGTCTACCGTGTAATTACTACCGTGTTATTGTCTACAGATATATTGCCAGCAGTGTTATTATCTACAGTGTTATTGTCTACAGTGTTATTGTCAGCAGTGTTATTGTCTACAGTGTTATTGTCTACAGTGTTATTGTCAGCAGTGTTATTGTCAGCAGTGTTATTGTCAGCAGTGTTATTGTCTACAGTGTTATTGTCTACAGTGTTAATGTCTACAGTGTTATTGTCTACAGTGTTATTGTCTACTGTGTTATTGTCTACTGTGTTATTGTCAGCTGTGTTATTGTCTACAAGATGGGGGAAGTTATTACTATATATGTGCAAAATCGTAAATAGTTTACGTAAACCGAAGCACTCATGAGTGTTTGGAGTCTTTGAACATACACACGTCCATGCATCCATCCAGATACATGTACACAAACACACACGCACATGTGTACATTAGTATACATACATATTACACACACACACACACACACACACACACACACACACACACAAACAAACATACATACATGCATGCATGCATGCATACATTATTGACAAATACCTTGTTCGGGTTGGCATACACGTAGTCGGGGTCCATTTCCATCACGCTTCTTGATTCTTTCATCCTCTCCGCCTCAAATGAATCTTCAAATAATTGTTCAAATAATAGCGACACAGTTTCAAGAATCATTGTACAGTCATGAGCATGTGTTTTCTTGTGTGACGTGGCGCTGTATCCCACACTCCAATGCCTCGCTCTATACCTAATTGTAGATCATGTTTGACTCTAGAAATATCATGCTACATAATTCAATTGTAAAACTGATTTGACGAAGCAACAATCCCAGCAAATGCCAGGTTGTGAGTGAGGTTTTGATTCATGCGCATTCATTTATCACCTCACTCCTGGTGTAGAGACCTCGACGACATGGCCAAGGAACCCAGCTATTTGTACGGGGAACACCAGAATAATCACTGCAAAAGGCATCGGGTGTTCAGTGAAGGGCAGCGGGGCAGCGATGTTTGACAGTTAGACGTGTGTGGTGTATTTTGACTTGTACCAGATTTACACAGAAACAAGGAAAATGTGATCGATCTATCCTGAAAAATCGAATATCAAAAGCAGCGACTGGCAATGTTCCTTGACTAATATATTAGACTCCACCTAGAATGTTACAATAGTTGTTCCTGTAGTCCGACACCACATATATTTGCTGCTTAGCACCTCTGCTATTGGATGTACTGAAGTATAGCACATCACACCCAACTGCAAGCCAGTCTCTATTGTCGCCAGAAAAGTTTCCATTCGGAGTAACAATGAAATCGTGATTTAGAAGTACATGAAAATCCCTGATGACACCAGGTGTTTGCTAATAGGGTAAGGGTGTCAGCTCTACCGGTAACACAGCCAGCCTCACAGTTTGCACAATATATGAGTGTTTGCGTTGAATGTTGCAAGAAGCTGCACCTATATATAAGGAAGCGTGAACCATATCCAACATAGGAAACAATGGCTACCTTACCTGGACAAATGCCATTGTGACTGTAATACAGCTCATTGTCCTGTATCACTGAAATAGTTAGACAATGGTAAGATATGACTTTTTGCTGTCGAAGACCACTCGAAAATATCTTGATTCGAACAACAGTGACTTTTCTTTAGTTTAGCATCTTGAAGCATTTGAATATGGATTTAAAATTATGCTTTTTCGTATGACTACATAGACTTGAACATGTAAATAAAGAGATTTTATGAAAACATATGACATAACCTTGCTGTAAAATAACAAGCTATACAAACCAACAGCATCTGTCTGCAAATCTCCTTTCTCCTCATCGTCTCTCCTGGGGACAATTGTACATTCAGCTTGTTATTTATTGTGCTATAATGTTCCAGATGTAAGTTATTCAACATGTGATATTCAGTGAGGGCAATGGTGTGTTACAGTTAGACATGGGGTGTAGTTTGACTTGCACCAGATTTAGTCAGAAGGGGCTGGTGGGAGCTGCGTGAACTTAATCCAGAATGATGATAGGCACTATACCCTGCGGCCTATAATTACATGTTGCTGAGAGCTGAATATTGACATCAATGTCGTTGTCATAATCGCTGCTCTTATTATATTCCTTCTGAATTTGTGCTGCATACCAATTTTGTACTGCCATTTAGAGTGACACCTTTGTTGTGGTTCATATTGACGCCTGGCCTTAATTGTTAATCACATTTCATTTAACTGTTGGTTGGGGGCGGTGGGGTAGCGTAGTGGTAAAAGCGTTCATTCGTCACACCGAAGACCCGGGTTCGATTCCCGACACGGGTACAATATGTGAAGCCCATTTCTGGTGTCCCCCGCCGTGATATAGCTGGACGATTGCTAAAAGCAGCGTAAAACTAAACTCACTCACTCACTCCCCGTTGGTTGGTTTCACACCTAGTTTGTTTACAGACGATTCCGGTTTAACGTTTCCGTTCGAACTTCGGAATCACCACTTAACAATATGTAATAACTGTCTGCTTTGTACGACACCATTAAGACAAGTTCGCCGCCCTGACTGTGGTATTGGTGAGGTGAAATTGGGTTTTACGTCTTGCTTGAGAATATTTCGCTCATATGACGACGTGCATGCATGTGTATGTGTATGTGCGGCTGCTTGTACTAGCCCAGACTTAAGCTGGTTTTATAGTGCTAGCCCACTGAGATACCATGCCGCGGTGAAGCATGAATAACCCAATCAGACACATTATACTGACTCCGAGCCGACCAGTCCTTGTTGTACCCATTAATGCCGAGCGCCAAGCAGGGACCAACAAGTACCATATTTTAACGTCTTTTGGTATGACGCGATCGGGGATCGAACCCGCGACCTTCCGCTCTCCGGGCGGACGCTCTAACCACTACACCACGGAAGCGGTGACTGTGGTATTGAAGCACGTTCACTCATTCAGTGTATTTTACTTACTGTGATTTGTTGTGACGTTTAGTCTTCCCTGTGAACACAGTATAGAAGTGTAAATTATTTCTATCACATACGACTAACAAAGATAGACGACTAAAAACTGTATACATGTACACCATCCTTCCATCAAACAACTGCTCCTAAGTTGAACTTTTTTTCATAATAGAGCATCTTGCTGATTTAGAGTCCTCAAAGTAGCCTACATGTTATATAAGACACCGTGTCGGTTGTGCAGTTCCGACTCCATGAGCGTATCCTGCCCACCGCCGACCCCCGTATCCAGTGTGGGAAAATTAAATACACTTTTAAACCATGCAAGATTATGGCCTGATAAAAATGTCCATCATATTAGCAGCTTAATTATGAAGCCCGTGTCATGCCGACAATATCTTATCCTTATCTATTTTTGTAATCTTTCGTATAGTTTCTACATTCAAATTTCGGGCTTCTGGATTATTTTATGGGCTAGTAACTTTCAGGAATAGCTAGCCCGACTGGCTAGCAAAATGTTGGAAACTTTTTTGCTCACTGCCCCTCTCTCATTCCATGAGCCATGGCACAAATTGAAACTATTATATACTACCCATCAAAGATTTAGACTCACTAAAAACATTCACTCTATGTTATGTATGTATACTAGGCACAAGAAATAAGGGAACCCCCAAGTGGAAGTTATACTTGAAACAATGCTACATAAAAGTTGCAGGCAGATTGCATTCGAACCCAGATCGGAAATCATTATGGCTGACACGACAGTCAGCACCATGTTACCTTTACATGATGCACGTGCACCATGCACCACACGTGCATTCTAGCCTAAAAAACTGACAGTAAGCGTGTCCCTCTATCTCTTGTGAAAATGCCACCTCGACAGTACCTGACAAACGCACAGAAATGGCAGGCCCTTGACATGATAGAGGGTGGACAATCTCAGAATAATGTTGCCCTGTTTTTCAGGAATCCCGAAAGCGTAATTTCCCGTCTCATCAACCTTTAACGTCAGACAGCGGGCGTTAAAATGTGGACCGGTCGAGGAAGACGCCCTAAAACCACCCCCAGACAAGGCAACATCCTGAGAGCTATAGCTCTGAGGAATCGATTTGTCACAGCCCCGGATTTGAAGATGGAATTCTTCAGAACCACAGGAACACGGATTTCGAACTCTACTGTACGAAACAGGCTCCGTAGCAGAGGTCTTAAGTCAAGACGTCCATTCAAAGGCGTGACGATGACAGCTAACCACAGACGTATTCGTTATTGGTGGGCTCAGCAACGTCAGAGGAGGGGGAACCGGCAATGGCGACATGTGATGTTTAGTGATGAATCCCGCTTTTGTTTGCGATTCACGGATGGACGATTGCGTGTGTGGCGACGCCGAGGAGAGCGTTATGGGAGACCCACGGTACAGGAACACGATTCTTATGGAGGCGGCTCTATCGTGGTCTGGGGAGGAATTTCTTTCAATAGGAGGACTGATTTGATTCTTGTACGAGGTAATTTGACAGGTCAGCGGTATATGGACGAGATCTTACGGCCACACGTGGTTCCAATGGCTCACAGGGCAATTCGAAATTTTGTGTTTCAGGACGCTAATGCACCTCCTCACAGAGCTCGTGTTGCCGCGAACTTCTTGCAACAACAAGGTGTTACAACTTTACCCTGGCCGGCTAAAACCCCAGATCTATCCCCTATCAGACATCTGTGGGATGTGTTTGGGCGTCGAGTGCGTCTTAGGGAGCCTGCACCAGCAAATCTTGATGTGTTAGGTAGAGCACTGCAGCAAGAGTGGCACGTGATTCCGAGAGCGACAATTCAGCGGTTGGTGTCCAGCATGCCTGCAAGGTGTCGTGCATGTATTGCTGCTCACCGGGGACACGCTCGTTATTTAGCATATCTGACATACTTAACGTACGTTTGTGCTGATTAAATTATACATGCTTCACAAAGTCAAGGGGTTCCTTTATTTTTTGTGCCTAGTATATATATGGTTACAACGAAGATGAACTTCTCCACTAACTTGGGGGAAACAACTGCAAACCTTATGCAGATTAATTGCACGAGGATCATGCATCAAACTGCCCAAAAGTATATGCAAATATCGTGCATGTGAACAGCTGCGTTTTGGTGTAAAGTTTTGATAAGGATTTGCCATTTTCAACATTTTCATCATTTATTGAACGCATAACAATACTCTTTTCAACGTTATGAATTTGTTTTACAATACATCGGTTCATGTGTAAACAGTGCCTTTAAACAGTATGGCATATTTTACAAAATTTAGATTAGAACAGTTGCCTGAAGTAAGTGGCTACATGTACACTAGTGAGTCTAAACTCTTGATGGGGAGTATATTTATATCTGAACTCCATTTGATCGTGTTTAAGATACGACTGAAGTATACTCACTGTTCCGTCTGACCAGACACACAGCTGCCAGAGTGATGAGGATGAAGGATGAAGCAAGGGATGAACCAACAACTATGTAGATCATGCCGGGTCCTCCGTCTGCCAACACCAGGTGGAACATCATCCTAACTGTACTTATATATTCCACTGATCTGGTGAACTATTTATAAAATACTACATGTCGTAAAGACGAAGACTCGTGAACAACAACCGTAGTTATACTCACCATCTTTACTCCGAGACGTTGTAGCAGGGGGTGTCGTCACTGTCGCTGCTGTGTCAGTAGAAGGCAAAGATACCTTAGTAGGTGTGTCGGTCCCGTCATCTACATCAACGTTGGGGATATGTGACATACGGTGTGAGTGTAGTTTAACGATACTGACTGTTCGTGTATCGTAGTGAACACAAACTAGTTGATTTAGATGCTGAGAAGGTACTGAACAATAAAATACACTTCACATTTGCAAGAAAGGAATTATATTGAAAATGAGTAGTACAGGGCAGTGTTTGCAAAACTTTCATTTGGCAGTTGGCCTGCAGACTAGGCGCGGAATGAAATCAGCAGGCCCAATTTGTTAAATCAAACCAACAAACACAAAATAGTCTACACTGTATACAGCGAAGCCTATGGCCCTGAGACAAGTTTTCATTTGTTAAAGACTGGTGTTGACATTCCTAGGCGCAAAGCGCTGAAATACCAGGAATTGATCCATGAAACATGGATGGTTCCCGACCGTTAATAGAGAAAACAATTATGGGAAAGAATAAAGTTGAAAACAATTGACAGTTACTTTACTGAAGGCCACAAGGGCCAGCAAGTATTTGAAACTTCCGGCCCGACACAATAACAACCGGCGCCGGGGCTTCGGGCCGACGATTATTTTGAACGCTGGTACAGGGTAGCCACGTGGTCATAGTGAACAGTAAAACAGAGATAAACGCCTTACACATGTTGAACGTGAACGTGCAATTGGCATGCTCAAGGCTGGCCAGTCTACTATGGCTGTTGCACGTGCAATAAGATGCAGTAGACGGACAATTTGTGTAACCGTTTTACGTCCGCAATGTCAACCAGTAACGCATTGTCAAGGGGTCGCGTAACTGTCCAGACAATACGAAGCTGCTTGCGAGCTGCACATCTGTATGCCCGATGTCCTTATGGTGGGCCGATTCTGCCACAGGTAACCTGTAATGACGCTTGGCACAATTGTACCTGTGCTGGAACCAGAGAGAATGGAATAAGGTTGTGTATACCGACGAATCACGTTTTACTCTGCAATTTGCAGACGCGTGCGATCGATGCGCACCGTCACGCGCAGATGGTCTGGGGCGATGTCTGTCTTGTAATTCGTGCAGCGGGATATCGTGACCAGGACCCCGTTTCATAAAGCGATCGTAGCGCTAAGGTGATCGTAGCTCCCATACTTTAACACAGACTTAAGACTGTCGTAACGCCACGATCGCTTGTGAAACGGGGTCCTGGTTCTTGTACCGGAGCAGGTGCCGTCCAAGGCTGCTCATGGTCCAGGCCTTCAATTCCAACATAATGATGCGACACCACGCAGCTATTTTGACACGAAAGCACCTGCAAAATGCGGGTATTGACGTCATGGAGTGGCCATTGAGACCACCTGAACTCAATCACATATGGGACGTTCTTGAAAGAAGTCTTCGTGGCTTGAGAGTTCAACTCAGGAGAGTGCAAGAGCTGGGCGCCATTTTGGCACAGCAATGGCACAGGTTGCCTAATGTTGTGTTCACGGGTGTTAGGCAGTACAAGCGTCAATATGATGGCTAGTTCCGGGGTAATCAAAATGCAACCCTATCGTGGTGACTGTGGGGTGCGCCTTCATGCCTAATCCTGTTTTACTACACGCTCATTACGTACATACACCAGAAACTTATGTGCCCATTAGCAACAAGCTTTGTTCCATGTTAGCATGTTTAGGACATCAAGTTACACATGTGAAGTTTGTTATTGAGTTTAGTATAGTTCACAAGTAGCAAGAAATGACATTTCTAGGTGATCCCAAACCGAATAGGTTTTAACTTCCTTACGTGGCATTTAGAAGCTGGTATGATGAAGAGGAACACTTTGTATGGATAGACAACTTCTTTGTTGCAAGTTGCTTGATACCGCATCCACTGCAGTAGTTCTCCATCCATTAAAAAGTGTTCCTCGAATAGGTTTCATTATCTTAACCCCTAAAATGGGTTCATAATATTTCATTTAAGACCTACTGGGTGCATACACTCCCACACAAGGTGACACCATTTGAGCTTGTGGACATTGTCGACGCAATACAGTCATAGTTTTGTGTTTGTATCGGTACAAGGTTTGGCATTTTCAAACCAACACATTATGTCAGTACCTCAGAAAGTATACAGGAAAGAAATGCTCTTTCGATAATCAATCAGAAAGGAGTAACTGAAGTAAAGGCAGGGTAAAGGTTAATCAGAGATATTACCTGTGTTGGTCTCGGTCTCTGTTGTAGCAGTTCGCACTGTGGAATGGATCAACGATACCGTGGTGTCAGTAGAAACAACTGAAAACAGGAACATGAATTCACATATATCTTGCTCATCAGATACGGCAGATGTTGGGTATGGTTTCCCATGATGATTATAAATAAAAATGTTAGGCATATTCATTCAAACACAGGGTAAGGATTTCCAAATGACAGGTAAGTTCAAAGTTATTCATAAATATTACCGTTTATGGTCACCTCTGCTGCTGTTGTTGTTGATGATGGTGATGCTGTTGTTGGTTGTTGTGTTGAAAGGATCGATGAAGTACTGGAGACGCTGTCATTTTGTATGGAAGCAACTGAAAACACGACCATGAATGCACACAATAATTTGAAGAGACGTATATACCAGTTGTTGTGACTGGAACCATCCTCGGAACACAAGAGTGTAGAGTCCGAATTTTGGCCTACTCTACACAGAAGAAAACGATAGTACCAGGTAGTACAAGGTAGTTAGTATGGGCGAATAGGATAATGGCCAGGTTTACCTTGAAGCATCCACCCATTTCAGCACGCTCTTTACGCAAATAATATATGATTAAGATGGTGTCATATGTTGCCCATCAGATACGGCGATTGTTGCGTTGGTCATCGATAAGAAACTATCAATTTTCAGTCAAAAACCGGGTATCAGTATCTTCAATGTCAGCAAGATACGTGAAGAGAAATTGCCCATTCCATAACCAATCAGAAAAGGATATCTTAATGACAGGTAGGCTAAATGTTAATCATAGATATTACCGTTGATGGTCAACCCTGCTGCTGTGGCGGTTGTTGATGATGATGATGCTGTTACTGCTGTTGTTGTAGGTCGTTGTGTAGGTAGGATCGAGGATATAGTGGAGACGCTGTCATTCTGTATGGAGACAACTGGAAAAACGACCATGACTTCAGTATAGTATTATGTGAGACGCATGTGTTCCTGTTGTACCGAGATACGAGCGTTGCCTGGACTCTGCTTAAATAACATTTGTGACGTCATTCCATTGTCTGCTCGCTCCATTACTTTTCAGGAATGTGTACCAGCTTCAAATTAAAGACTTCATTTTGTCATTTTGACATATAACTTTGATAACAGAAATATTCCCAATACTTTGAATGTAATTTAAGTACGGTAATATCCTCGTAGCTCTCCATTCCTTAAAAACAATGTGCCTCGGCCCGTCCGGGGCCTCGGCTCCATTATTTTTAAGGAATGGAGAGTTACTCGGACATTACCCTCTACGGAATGACTCATCACAAGGGTACATGTTTAGAAGGATGATATATTCCCCGTCTGAGGAATGACATCAGCAATATGATAATTACACATCTGTCAATCTTATACAGCACGTCGACCTTACATTAACCACTAACTCTTCCTTGTGTGAAAATGTTGGGTTATTGCAAAGTATGGTAACATGAACATCACATCATACATTTAATACACATTGTTACTTACCGCCTGTAGCATCGTTGACGACAAACTTCAACATGTTGCCCGAAGGAAACTGATTATACTCTGAACATCCCCAAACAGATCCGTCGTCAAGAGATGAATTTATTTTCAGATTGAGTTGATGTTTTGCGAAAAACAGACTCACGTTAAACCGCCCTGTTACATTGAGGAAATGTTCACTATTTCTATCAACGTCGATGATGCTGGAAATGTTAATGTTTGTGCTAAACAGTTTCACGTTATTCCTACTCCAGGTCACAAACCCCAGTGCTGCCCTATCTCGGTGGCTGCACGACAGTGTGACCACGTCCCCGTCTTTGCCTGAAGTAGGGGATGCAGTCAGGATGAAGGCGGTCTGTGCCCCAGCTGCAGGATGAAGAACATCTCTCTCAATGTAATGATCGCATCTACGTCACACCATAACGCCTAGCTATACACTAGTCTGTCAACACCTGGCTCCGATTTCTCGAAACAAACTTAAGTCTGAGTTTTGACTTAAGTTAGAGTATTTACTCAAATTTTAGAAAATGCATTTCCCAGAATGAACTAAAATCGATAATAAACTCAAACATAGTGGACAATTTGAGTTTGGTGGATAGATTACTTAAGATGTTTGGGCTCTTTTATTTAAAAAATGCAGTTGAATTTAAAATTCAACTGTTTCAAATTGTCAAACTCAGTTTGAAATTTGCGTAAAAACTTAAGTTTGTTTCGAGAAATCGGGGCCAGAACACTTTAAACTGGAATACAACTACGCACGCTCATTGCAATAATGCAGCATTAAATGTAGGCACGTTTATAGTTTTGTAACTTTATGTATCCACTGAGGATGTTTTAGCAATGTTTATTCCAACAAGGGAATATTTACTGCTGTCTGCTGATACCTCTGTTAATACCTACACTCCTGAATTGCCACGATCTCTGTTGGCTGATAGCCTTCAGTGCAACGTTGAACTGTTACTAAACATCTCGTTACAATGGAATAGAAGACCTACCTGCTACAACAGTTGTATCAAGTGCCAACAGGAGAAGAGCGGTGCGTTGTAGCGATCCACACATGGCTGGTTGGAGGAAGACAACCTTCGCAGATCACGCGTGTTGCTGTTATGTTGAAGTTGGATGCAACAAGGAAGTATATGACTGAATTATCCTTGGTGTCTTTCATAGTTTTATTGACAGAAAGGGTGGATATATTTGCTGAAGGGCAAAATAATTTGCTTGACGAATATCTCTCAAAATCACAGTAAAAACTGTTTTACATAGCTATGGAACCCTTGCTGCCTTATCTAAATGTGAAAATGCCTTACACTACCATAAAACCCGGCTGCCTTACTTACTCTACAGTGTAACACGTTCTTTAACTTCTGTAACCCGTGTTCTCTGATACCACTGTGAAACCCATACTGCCTAACACCGATGTGAAACAAGTGTGAAACTATACTGACCACTGTCAAACACACGCTATCTTAACAACCTTGACAACCTTGGTGACGTACACTACCGAGAACACCTTGGTGACGTACACAACCGAGAACACGGTGGTGACGTACACCACTGAGAACACCTTGGTGACGTACACTACCGAGGACACCGTGGTGACAGACACTACCGACAACACCTTGGTGACGTACACTACCGAGAACACCTCGGTGACGTACACTACCGAGAACAACTGGGTGACGTACACAACCAAGAACACCTTGGTGACGTACACTACCGAGAACACCTTGGTAATGTACACTACCGAGGACACCGTGGTGACAGACACTACCGAGGACACCTTGGTGACGTACACTACCGAGAACACCTTGGTGACGTACACTACCGAGAACACCTTGGTGACGTACACAACCGAGAACACGGTGGTGACGTACACCACTGAGAACACCTTGGTAATGTACACTACCGAGGACACCGTGGTGACAGACACTACCGAGGACACCTTGGTGACGGACACTACCGACAACACCTTGGTGACGTACACTACCGAGAACACCTTGGTGACGTACACTACCGAGAACACCTTGGTAATGTACACTACCGAGAACACCGTGGTGACAGACACTACCGAGAACACCTTGGTGACGTACACTACCGAGGACACCTTGGTGACGTACACTACCGACAACACCTTGGTGACGTACACTACCGAGAACACCTTGGTGACGTACACAACCGAGAACACCTTGGTGACGTACACTACCGAGGACACCTTGGTGATGTACACTACCGAGAACACCTTGGTGACCTACACAACCGAGGACACCGTGGGGACGTACACTAGCGAGAACACCTGAGTGACGTACACTACCGAGAACACCTGGCTGAAGTACACTAATGTGACAACCCATCTGAAGCAATATTGGACCTGAGCAATTATGGACTTCATGGATGTACGATGATGAAAGATCGGCCCGGTTATGTAAACTGTTTCAAAGGTTACACAGCCCTTGAGACGGAAGAAGTAAAGATGATGAGAGAATTGATAGATAGCACAAAATCAGTTCCATCATCAGTAAAGTGTCTCCAGACAATTGGAATCCAGTGTTTGTTTGGATGTGTGTGTCAGTTGTGATATTTACCCAATAACAACATTTAAAGAAGATAAAGTTTGTCTTAATGTTGAACAACTGTATTCCAAAATCAGCTAAGTTCACGGAATCAATATGAATCAATACGAGTGTATCACTATCACGGTACACAACTGAGTGGCTGTACAAGGCAAAGGTAACACTAGACAAGAGCAGTGATTGTAGCAATGAAGATAGTGATAGTACTATTCAACTCTCAGCAACAGTAATCTACTATTAGTTGGCTAACATCACTGGTGGAAACATTACGTTAAACATTTACGACAGAAAAGAAATGTCTCAGCTCCACAATTCATCAGCGACACACCACCGTTAGGTAACTGAACCTATGTCCACATTCCCAAAATGCATCCGTGGAATGTCGCGTGACTCGTCAGCTTCCTGTGGTTGTACTGATCTGGACTTAGTAATAAATAATAACAAGTACGTTTATAATGCGTCAAATCCAGACACTAAGTGCATGCTCATAGCGCTACATAAGAGATTCTGACATCACCAGGTTAAGAGATGCGACTAGAAATGATTAGCGTCTATAGAACTGAGTGAAGAGAAATGTTTTGAGGCTGTCTTTGAACATTTGGAGAGCAAGGATTCCTTGAAGATGATCTGGGAGTTTATTCCAGAGAGTGGTGGCATTGTAAGTAAATGATCTCTGACCAAATCGTCTCAGACGTGGGGTTGGAACAGAGAAGAGATGTTGTTGGGCAGATCGGACTGACTGACTGACTGAGTTTGGTTTTAGCCGCTTTAAGCAATATTCCAGCAACATCATGGCGGGGGACACCAGAAATGGGCTTCACACATTGTGCCCATTTGGGGATTCGAACCAGGGTCTTCGGCGTGACGAGCCAACGCTTTAACCATTAGGCTACCCCACCACCCCTGGGCAGATCGGAGGACACTAGATGGGTTTTAGACTTGTTGGAGTTCTGACAGGTAGGAAGGTGCTGACACGTGATAACACTGATACGCCAGTGCAAGCACTTTATACTGAACACGTGCATCAACAGGTAGCCAGTGCAGTTTTATCAGTATGGGCGTGTAACTATTTTTGCTGCAGAATTCTGAATGGCTGAAGCCAGGACATCTGTTCTGTGGTGATGTCACATAAAAGACTATAACAGTAGTCCATCTTGGATAGCACTACACTCCTGACAAGCATATGGGCAGTATGTGTAGATAGCAGGTGCCGGATGCTGCCGATGTTCCTGAGATGACAGTGACAAGCTCTGCGGGTCATAGTGATGTGCTGATCCATCGACAGGTCATTGTCCAGGATAACTCCAAGATTTCTAAAGATTTCTAACACAGTCAGTGGGAAGAACCTGAGACTGTCCAATACTAAGAGATGAAACATTTGCCTTGTTCCGCTTATCACGTGTACCAATCAACATGGCTTCTGTCTTGTCTGTGTTTAATTTCCAACATGTTTGTGTTCATCCAACACTGAATGTTGCTGGTGCAGATACCCATATGAGAGACAGCAATCAAAGCATTCTGAGGCAGGAAGGAATCAAGTAACTGAGTGTCATCAGCGTAGAAATGGTGACCAATATTCATGGATGAGAGTTTTCCCAGATCAGAGGTCTAGATGGTAAATTAATAAATAAAAGAATGTCCGAACACTGGAAGTAGAAATGCGGCGTTCATTTTGCTTATGATAATCTCCGATTTACTTAAAAAGATGTTTTTAAGTTTCACCGTCTTCAAACTGTATGTTATTTGTTTTCTTGGTAACGTGCGTCGATCTAAGGGCACACATGGCAATAGAAGAGCAGTTAACCTTCACCGAGGATTGTTAATTTAGGTCACCGACACCGTCGTCTTTTCGGTCTGTTTTGTGCCGGAGATTGATCTTCGGAAAATATTAAATTTGGCATCCTAGAAAAGAAGTACAGTTCCTACCACGCCATGTATGGTGTTGAAATATAGTTTTGTCCTGAACTATCATAACGCGTGCGTCCTCGTGCTTTAAATATAATAGTTCAGCAAAATATTGTACTTTATTGCACAATACATGGGGGTAGAGTGAACTGTATTTCGTAATTCATATGCTTGAAGTTGCTTTAGAAAAGAGTGTTTTATCGGTTGTTCGCCAATAAACAATACAAACACTCATAGTTTGTACAAACTGAGGCAGAGGCTGTGTTACCGGTAGAGCTGGACATGCTTACCCTTTTCAAGAACACCCGGTGTCGTCAGTGATTTTCATGTACTTTTCCAGCATTATTTTGCAGTTACTCGAAATGGAATCTCTTTGTGAGAAAATAGAGACTGGTTAGCGTCTGGGGGTGATATATTATTCTTCAATACATACAATAGTAGAACTGCAGGCCTACACTACTGAGAAAACCCTGCTGGCGTACACTACTGCGAACACCTTGCTGGCGTACAGTACTGCGAACACCTTGCTGGCGTACAGTACTGCGAACGCCTTGCTGGCTTACACACTGAAAACACCCTGCTGCCTTACACTACTGAGAACACTGAAAACACCTTGAGGGCGTACACTACTGCGAGCACCTTGCTGGCGTACACTACTGAGAACACCTTGCTGGCGTACACTACTGCGAACACCTTGCTGGCGTACACTACTGAGAACACCTTGCTGGCGTACACACTGAAAACACCTTGCTGGCGTACACTACTGAGAACACCTTGCTGGCGTACACTACTGAGAACACCTTGCTGGCGTACCCTACTGAGAACACCTTGCTGGCGTACACTGCTGAGAACACCTTGCTGGCGTACACTACTGAGAACACCTTGCTGGCGTACACTACTGAGAACACCTTGCTGGCGTACACTACTGAGAACACCTTGCTGGCGTACACTACTGAGAACACCTTGCTGGCGTACACTACTGAGAACACCTTGCTGGCGTACACTACTGCGAGCACCTTGCTGGCGTACACTACTGAGAACACCTTGCTGGCGTACACTACTGAGAACACCTTGCTGGTGAACACTACTGCGAGCACCTTGCTGGCCTACACTACTGAGAACACCTTGCTGGCGTACACTACTGAGAACACCTTGCTGGCGTACACTACTGAGAACACCTTGCTGGCGTACTACTGACTTGCTGGCGTACACTACTGAGAACGCCTTGCTGGCGTACACTACTGAGAACACCTTGCTGGCGTACACTACTGCGAGCACCTTGCTGGCGTACACTACTGAGAACACCTTGCTGGCGCACACTACTGAGAACACCTTGCTGGCGTACGAGAACACTGCTGGCGTACGAGAACACCTTGCTGGTGAACACTACTGCGAGCACCTTGCTGGCCTACACTACTGAGAACACCTTGCTGGCGTACACTACTGAGAACACCTTGCTGGCGTACACTACTGAGAACACCTTGCTGACGTACACTACTGAGAACGCCTTGCTGGCGTACACTACTGAGAACACCTTGCTGGCGTACACTGCGAGCACCTTGCTGGCTACTGCGAGCACCTTGCTGGCGTACACTACTGAGAACACCTTGCTGGCGCACACTACTGAGAACACCTTGCTGGCGTACACTACTGAGAACACCTTGTTGGCGTACACTACTGCGAGCACCTTGCTGGCGTACACTACTGCGAGCACCTTGCTGGCGTACACTACTGCGAGCACCTTGCTGGCGTACACTACTGCGAGCACCTTGCTGGCGTACACTACTGCGAGCACCTTGCTGGCGTACACTACTGCGAGCACCTTGCTGGCGTACACTACTGAGAACGCCTTGCTGGCGTACACTACTGAGAACGCCTTGCTGGCGTACACTACTAAGAACACCTTGCTGGCGTACACTACTGCGAACACCCTGCTGCCTTCTATGCTTGAAGTTGCTTTAGAAAACAGTATTTTATCGGTTGTTCAGTATGTTTGTGTGTGAGTGTTTGCATGTATGCAGTTGAGTGTATACGTGTATGTGTGCATGTGTGTGTGTATATTTATACATTCATGACATGCCACTGAATATAGATAAAAACAGATGTTCAACTCAAGTTCAGTCAGTGTAACCCCAAGAACGTGGAGGCTGCTTGGGCCAAACAAACGGAACCTTGATGTACAGGTGAGTCTCTGATTGGTTGAGTCCTATTGCAACTGTCCTGATGTGTAGAAGTGTTGTCATGTGGAGAAGCTTCAAATGTTCATGTATTGTATACCTGTGTCCGCAAGAGTCGATTAGGTCAGATCACCACATGAAGAAAATATTCTTTATACGATTAACATAATTATTTGACAACTGCATTTAAGGACATATTGTCTACATTCTGTTGCTTGTTCATCTTTATATTCATTTTGCGTTTTCTTTGATAGGAATAAAGCACTGCAGCCCAGTCGAGGTAGACTTCCCACTTCAGTTAGTAGTGTCGCTACTGCTCTTGTATATGCCAGGATCTCATTCTGTCCCGTTCTTACAACATGCAGTACGGTTTATCTCATATTGTCCCGTTCTTACAACATACAGGACGGTTTATCTCGTATTGTCCCGTTCTTACAACACGCAGCACGGGTTATCTCATATTGTCCCGTTCTTACAACATACAACACGGTTTATCTCATAGTGTCCCGTTCTTACAACATACAGCAGTGTTTATCTCATATTGTTCCGTTCTTACAACATACAGCACGGTTTATCTCATATTGTCCCGTTCTTACAACATACAGCAGTGTTTATCTCATATTGTCCCGTTCTTACAACATACAGCAGTGTTTATCTCATATTGTCCCGATCTTACAACATACAGCAGTGTTTATCTCATATTGTCCCGTTCTTACAACATACAACACGGTTTATCTCATATTGTCCCGTTCTTACAACACGCAGCACGGTTTATCTCATATTGTCCCGTTCTTACAACATCCAGCACGGTTTATCTCATATTGTTCCGTTCTTACAACATAAAGAAGTGTTTATCTCATATTGACCCGTTCTTACAACATACAACACGGTTTATCTCATATTGTCCCGTTCTTACACCATGCAGCAGTGTTAATCTCATATCGTTCCGTTCTTACAACATACAGCAGTGTTTATCTCATATTGACCCGTTCTTACAACATACAACACGGTTTATCTCATATTGTCCCGTTCTTACAACACGCAGCACGGTTTATCTCATATTGTCCCGTTCTTACAACATACAGCACGGTTTATCTCATATTGTTCCGTTCTTACAACATAAAGCAGTGTTTATCTCATATTGACCCGTTCTTACAACATACAACACGGTTTATCTCATATTGACCCGTTCTTACAACATGCAGCAGTGTTTATCTCATATCGTTCCGTTCTTACAACATACAGCACGGTTTATCTCATATTGTTCCGTTCTTACAACACGCAGCACGGTTTATATCTTATTGTCCCATTCTTACAACACGCAGCACGGTTTATCTCATATTGTCCCGTTCTTACAACATGCAGCAGTGTTTATCTCATATTGTCCCGTTCTTACAACATACAGCACGGTCTATCTCATATTGTCCCGTTCTTACAACATGCAGCACGGTTTATCTCATATTGTCCCGTTCTTACAACACGCAGCACGTTTATCTCATATTGTTCCGTTCTTACAACACGCAGCACGTTTATCTCATATTGTCCCGTTCTTACAACTCGCAGCACGGTTTATCTCATATTGTCCCGTTCTTACAACATGCAGCAGTGTTTATCTCATATTGTCCCGTTCTTACAACATACAGCACGGTTTATCTCATATTGTCCCGTTCTTACAACATACAGTAGTGTTTATCTCATATTGTTCCGTTCTTACAACATACAGCAGTGTTATCTCATATTGTCCCGTTCTTACAACATACAGCAGTGTTTGTCTCATATTGTCCCGTTCTAACAACATACAGCACGGTTTATCTCATATTGTCCCGTTCTTACAACACGCAGCAGTGTTTATCTCATATTGTCCCATTCTTACAACATACAACACGGTTTATCTCATATTGTACCGTTTTTACAACATACAGCAGTGTTTATCTCATATTGTCCCGTTCTTACAACATACAGCACGGTTTATCTCATATTGTCCCGTTCTTACAACATACAACACGGTTTATCTCATATTGTCCCGTTCTTACAACACGCAGCACGGTTTATCTCATATTGTCCCGTTCTTACAACATACAGCACGGTTTATCTCATATTGTTCCGTTCTTACAACATGAAGCAGTGTTTATCTCATATTGACCCGTTCTTACAACATACAACACGGTTTATCTCATATTGACCCGTTCTTACAACATGCAGCAGTGTTAATCTCATATCGTTCCGTTCTTACAACATAAAGCAGTGTTTATCTCATATTGACCCGTTCTTACAACATACAACACGGTTTATCTCATATTGACCCGTTCTTACAACATGCAGCAGTGTTTATCTCATATTGTTCCGTTCTTACAACATACAGCACGGTTTATCTCATATTGTTCCGTTCTTACAAAAAGCAGCACGGTTTATATCTTATTGTCCAATTCTTACAACACGCAGCACGGTTTATCTCATATTGTCCCGTTCTTACAACATGCAGCAGTGTTTATCTCATATTGTCCCGTTCTTACAACATACAGCACGGTTTATCTCATATTGTCCCGTTCTTACAACATGCAGCACGGTTTATCTCATATTGTCCCGTTCTTACAACACGCAGCACGTTTATCTCATATTGTCCGTTCTTACAACACGCAGCACGTTTATCTCATATTGTCCCGTTCTTACAACTCGCAGCACGGTTTATCTCATATTGTCCCGTTCTTACAACATGCAGCAGTGTTTATCTCATATTGTCCCGTTCTTACAACATACAGCACGGTTTATCTCATATTGTCCCGTTCTTACAACATACAGTAGTGTTTATCTCATATTGTTCCGTTCTTACAACATACAGCAGTGTTATCTCATATTGTCCCGTTCTTACAACATACAGCAGTGTTTGTCTCATATTGTCCCGTTCTAACAACATACAGCACGGTTTATCTCATATTGTCCCGTTCTTACAACACGCAGCAGTGTTTATCTCATATTGTCCCATTCTTACAACATACAACACGGTTTATCTCATATTGTACCGTTTTTACAACATACAGTAGTGTTTATCTCATATTGTCCCGTTCTTACAACATACAGCACGGTTTATCTCATATTGTTCCGTTCTT